CAGCAACGTGAGCTGTGGCACACTTCTTGTCGGGCACCAGTGAGCTGCCACCCCAAGTGTCCAGAGCCAGGTATTGCAGGCTATAGAGCAGATAATGTGTCTGCTCCAGAGTATTCTCCGGCGTTTGATTTGCTGGATCCGCAGGCTGGGAGGGCAAGCACCTGCTCTTGTGTACTTTTCACGGGCTTCCAGGTGCAGCTATGGATGTTGCAAGCTTGCACTGCAGCCCGAAACAACACTGCGCTTCTAGTCCGGCCAGAGGCATGCCGGACGTGTTGCCTCGTGCGCAGAACAGATGCGGAGCCACTTGCAATGGGCCAGGTACCCTGCTGGATCGAAGCTTGGAGCAGCTTCGTCGTCGCGGTCGGCGGCAGTTTTCCCGTCGCCCCAAGGAGAGTGCGGTTTGTTCGTGGCCGTGCCGTGCCAGAAAGCCCATCACAGGAGCTTGGCGTCGGAAGCGCTGCAAGCTTTCTTCCACCAGAAGACCTCGGATATCTTCCTGAAGGATTTGGCAACGGACACCGACAACTTCACAGGCATGGGCCGGGCACCAAACGCCGGATGACTCCAGTGGTTCCTGGCTGGTTGAGGACGTCCCAAGTTTGCTGTGATGCGGATGCTGATCAATTCTCCACGCAATGGTGGGCTGCCCTTGTTGCTTAGCTTCAACTCTTGCGGGGCTGCCTGAGATTGCATGTGGCTGTCACATGCTGTCACCAAGGCTTCTACCACTGAAGGATAAATGGATGGACTTTGTGGCGGACCTCAACAGAGCATGGTCTTAATTAGCAAGCGACAGCCAACAAAAGGTGTTCCAGGATGTTCAGTGAAAAGCCAAGTAAGGACATGCGCCGCTTTCGGCAGGCTCCGCTCTCATGGTATCTCAGACATGGACCGCGACAGACATGGACTCCCGGCTGCTTGTAACTTGTTCGAGGCTTGTAGCTTGTTTGAGGCTTAAACTCTCAGCACGAACTAGACTGAAGGCCATGTGAGAACCCTAATCGGCAGAAGGTCACCACATCACCTTCTAGCTTCATTCATGTCCCAGCCCAGCCAATCTTGTCTTCAGGAGCATTCCATCATGTCCAAGACGCTGGCATCGTTAATCCTGTCCATTGGCATCGCAGTTGCTTGTGTCGTGGTCTTCAGCCAGAATGTCTTGATTGGACTCTTCGTCCTGCTCACTATTCTCTTGGATGCCGGAATGCAAGAAGAACATTGTGTATGCCACGTGGATTCGAGGGAAGCTACCGCAAGGGATTCTAATCGGGCCAGGCCTGCATCTTGATAGTAGCTCATGAGATGTAACTTGCAGCTTACCCATAAGTTGAGAGGTGCATGGCAACCGAGGAAGTCTGCCCGCTCTTCGGCTTCCTTTTCGGAGTCATGCGCTACGAGTTCGGTGCCATCGAAGCCATCGGTGTTGTAACCTTTGTGGGTATGAGCGTTGACTACTGTTTGCACTTGGCACACGGCTGCTCAACTGCAGAAGCGGCCTTTCCTCAGAGATTTGGTCGTGTTGCAGCGTGACAGCACATTGAACCCGGCCACAGGCTATCATGTAGCGGAGAAGACGACCCGCAGTGCCTCTTATCTTGCTTTTCAGTCTGGGAGATTGTGTTGGTGGACAGGTTTGGGGAGTCGAGGTGGATGCGCTGACAGGGAAAACTGTAAGCCAGGAACTAGAACACAGGACGGAAGGAAGGAAGGACGGAAGGACAGAAGGGAGGCGGAAAGACATGAAGAGAGGACAGGCAAGGAACCAAGAAAGGAATGCAGGACGCAGGAAGGAAGCATCTGTTTGGCATTGTGGGGAAATTTGCCATTGATGATCCAGAGGCCCTGTGCTGCTCTTCAGCCAAAATAGGGAACACCACCGTCAATAGTACACAAGAGAGAAGCGGATGTTTGTTTTGTGTTTTCCAAACGTCTGTATCTACGTTTGCATCCAAGAACATGCACAGGACGTCGCACCTCAAAGTAATGCACAAAGCCAATGCGCATTTATCAGCGTGTAGATGTATGGATGAAGATCAAGTTGCATGATGTACATGACGCAGCTATTGCATGCGCAGCATTGTACCGCTGGAGTCTGTACCGCTGGCACGTTGCAAGAAAAAGGGGGGTTGCGCGGAGCACCCGCTAGCATGCGTCACTGTGTGCTTTCACGATCCCATGGCTACTGGTTCCGAAAAGCTTGTCGTCGCCAGACGAGGAGAAGCTACAGTTGACACTCGTGAATCTTGGGCCTTCCATTTTGGGTGGCGCCCTGACCACAGCTGCTGCAACGGCTTTCTTGCTGCCGTGCCGCATCGTGCTCTTCGTGAAGCTTGGGACGATGCTAGCTTCTCGGCCTTGCGTGGGTTTCTCGATGTTTCTCGCGAAGAGCTCTGAGAGAGCACCAGATGTGTGTAGGAGACCGACATGTCCCGTTCCACTGGCCCAGGTTGCGAACACGATCTTGCGAAGGGCTCGGCGGAAACCATTCATGACCATTGCGGCTCTGCAACCGGCTGTGCGGAGCTCAGGTCCTTGCTGTACACCTTCGTCTTCCTCGGGCCTTTGCTCATGATTCTTGGCCCACTTGAAGATGTCGGATCCTTCCTTTGGCCGCTTGACGAATTGGTGCAGCATCTGAAGATGTACGTTCAACTCGCGCCGCCCGTTCCCATTGGATAGTGAGAGCTGATTTCGAGGCTTTTTCGACATGTTTGTGATTTTGGCTGGGCGTGTCAAAAAGCGAAGCGGTACAGGAGGTCGGCTTGATCTGGCTTTTGCAACTTTTATACCTGCACTGTTTTCGGCAGGTCTGAACAGGCTCTGAAGAAGTCGGTTTGTAGTGGTTTCCATTGCTTGTGTCCTCCCCCCCTCGCTTCCTGTCTGCCTCGCTCCGCCACTCAGTCCGGCAGGCACGAAGCTGCCGTTGGAGGCGTCCCGACAGGTTTGATTGGGCAGGACGGCGTCGCACGGCTGCTGCTCGTCACGTGTCCTGCACCATGAGCGCACAAAAGGAGCCAGCACGATCGCGGACGAGAAGCATCCGGTACCCGTCGAGGCAAATCTGAATATCATCCAGGGGCACCTCTGCGGTTGGGAATGGAGCCGTCGGAAAGATTGGTCCTGACTGGTCCTTACAGTAAAAAATTTAGTTTCAGTCTGACAGGCGGCTGGAAACCAACACGTTGCAGCCTGGTGACCAACATCAACAACGAAGCACCAAGGTTGGACACCCACGTTCAGTGAGAAAGAGTTTCGATCTCGTGCAGAAGCGCCAAGGTCCGCTTCGACAGATCCGGCTCCGATCTGGCTCGGGGACAACCTCAGTTGGGAGTCAAGCAGAACTCGTGATGCAAGACCATCTCCGGTTGAGGCCAATTTCCCTAAAGCAGCCATGAATCAGCAAGTTAATTGCCTGCACGTCTCAACCTTCCGGAGCTTGGCGGCTTCATTTAGCCCGTGCTGCCTTCCGCGTGTGTCGGGTGGCCGCATTTGTCAAGGCTTGTGTTGTGACGTTCGATTGCTGGTATTTTCTGGAAACAGCTAAAACATTAAAAAAGTAAAACAAAGGTAAAAGAAAGGTGGTTCGGCAAAGGTGAAAAAAAGGTGATGCCGGATATGAAAGGTAAAAGAAAGGTGGTTCGGCAAAGGTGAAAAAAAGGTGATGCCGGACATGAAAGGTAAAACAAAGGTGGTTCGGCAAAGGTGAAAAAAAGGTGATGCCGGATATGAAAGGTGAAACGCTGTTGCCGTGGTGGTTTTTGCTGCTGATGCTGCTGCGGTGGAGGTAAGAGCAGCCCCCCCCCACACCCAGCCCACCCCCCCCTGTTTGGGGTGCGCGCTGATGGCTGGTTGCTGGGGCGGGGAGGGGAGGGGAAGGGCGGCGGGAGGGATGGGGGTAGTGGCGTGGGGGAGGGGGCCCTCTCTCTGCCTGCACCTTTTTCACCTCTGCCCGCACCTTTTTTTCACCTTTTCCCCCGCACCTTTTTTTCACCTCTGCCCGCACCTTTTTTTCACCTTTTCCCTACAGAAAAGGTGAAAAAAAGGTGCGGGCAGAGGTGAAAAAAAGGTGCGGGCAGAGGTGAAAAAAAGGTGCGGGCAGAGGTGGAAAAAAGGTCCACCCTCCCCTCCCCCCTTCCCCCCCCCCCTTCCCCCCCTTCCCCCCCGCTATCCTGCCTCACCTTCTTTTTACCTTTCCTCATTCACGTTTATTTTACCTTTGTTTCACCTTTGCTATCCTCCCTCACCTTTTTCTCACCTTTCCTCCATCACCTTTATTTTACCTTTGCTATCCTCCCTCACCTTTTTTTCACCTTTCCTCAATCACCTTTATTTTACCTTTGTTTCACCTTTGTTAATTATTTTATACTACCCAGAAAATACCAATCCGAACATCACAAGGCTTGTGCCGTTGGAGTTGTTGGTCGTGCCAGTAAGCCACCCAGCAACTTGCATCCTGCCTCAGCCAGAAGTGAAGCTTCTTCGCTCGGAGGTGCCCGTACTCTTTGCATGCACAAGTGCGAATTCGAAGTTGGCCTCTGTTGGCTGTTTTACCATGCATCCGCGCGCGATGCTACAGACCCAGCGTTTTGTTCGGATTATGATGCTCTGAGGTTTTCAACGATATCGGTTGCCATGACCGCTGTGATTCAAGTCTGACCTGTCTCGCTTTGGAGCCTTGTGCATCGTGCATTGATTTGATCGATGGTCGGATGCTGGTCGCTTTGCTGACTCGCTGCATCTGTGGCAGACGAAATCCGGCCTTCCTGTCCACTGAGCACCGAACATCACTCACACATTCAGCTTGTGCCGAGAGCCGTCGTCTCCCACCATTGGATGTACGTTCAACATGCAGCGTTGGCCCAACCACGGAGTCTCGAATAGGGTTGCCAATCAAAGCCCCTGCTGTTCTGATGAGGTCAGCCCAGCTACATGGCATTGTCAATAGTTCGGAGACAATAGCCGGGAAAGTGAATGTGCAAGCGTGAGCTTCGCAAGTCATGACCCTAAGCGACCTGCCCCAGGCGCCGGCAAACTCACTGGCAGAACAGATTTAGCTGCTGGCATGCGTTGGGTATCCTGTGGAAGGCTTTGGTCATCTCGGATGCGGGCGTTGAGGACACACGATATTTTGCTCGTCACCACACTATATGCTGTATGACTGGTCGCTCGCGTAGTCTACTCTTCGTCTGCTTTCTTTGGGGCTTTGCCTGTGTGCGAATGTGTGCGAGACTACCGTCTCCTGCACCATTTCTGCTTCAACCGAAGCCGACCTGGTCACCGGGGTTTCTTCGTTGTGGTCTTTCTTAGGAGTTGCTGTGTTATTCCTGGTCTGTCATTCGTTGAAAACGTGCACACCTTCAGCTGTCCATGGTTTTCACTTGAGTAGCTTCTTTTGCCAGCACGCTCTTCATTCTGACCTTATTGCTGCGCACCGCTGCGGTATGACTGCTCAAAGCCTTCATGGAGGCAATGTAGGCGCCACCTGCATGCTTGCTCTTCGTGGCTGTGCTCCAACCTGCACAGCATGAGCTCCGGCTGTGGGAACATGAGTGGTCGAGAAGGCACTTATGTCCTGGTATCGAAGACTTTCTTGGAGATGGTGCAGGTCATGCCGGCGATGCAACGATCATGCTCATGGCCACAGATCGCGGAGAAGAGTGAAGAGATCTACTGCGAAGGCTGGTGCTCGACACCAGCTTCCATTCCTTCCAAGTCGGAAACACAGGTCGAACAGCACGTAGATTCAAAAATTCGCTGGCACAGCGCACACGGTTTGCATCCCGATGACTCATTGTGGAGCCTTACATCAAAGCTCATGATCCGAAGCATCCCAGCAAGGTGCACATATGAAGAACTTGAGGCATTGGTGAGAATCTCTGCAGCCTGCGAGTTCCAGCTTTCGTTGCCATTGAACAAGAGTGGGAGAAATCGCGGCTATGCTTTTGTCACCGTACCGGATTCTGCTTCTATGCGGTCCTTAGTTCGTGCCATGTGGGGGCAAGGTGTCCCAACCAGGTGCAGCAGCAGGGCCCTTATGCTGCAGCCTGCGAATTGGGAGCATTTGACTCAGACACGTTCAAAGTCTCAGATTCTGGGAAAATGACATAGATGACTCTTCCGGCACATTTGCATTGATTGCCGATCGGCTTGCAGATTTGTTGTCGCTGTGCAGTGTCAACATGACACGCTCGCTTGAAGTGCATCGGCATCGGCTGAAGCAATCGCTAATGATTTTCCATTTGCGAACCGCAAATGTCTTCCCCGTCCTTTCTTTCATTTGCTTTGCAGAAAGTACCTGCGCACTTGCGACTCATAGAACTATGTTCAGCCTACAGTCAGTTCCAACAGCACGCTTTTCTCTTTTCTCTGTTTCAAGATCTCATCAATTGCGCAGAAGGGTCGCCCTTGAAGGGCCGTGCATAGCTTCGGCGGGAGATCCTTTGTTACTGGTACGACATCCCTGCGCGATCCTTTGTTACTAGTACGACATTCCTGCGCGTCCTTGAGAAAATGTGCCGTTTGACTACATCCCCGTCTTCTGATTCATATCTTCGTGGGGTGCGACTGTGTGCTTGGCCCAGGACGCCAACGGCATCTACAAGGCGACCGGTCGAGAATACTGCGACGCACCGGTGTGCACGGCTCGTTTGTGCAGACATGGGCAGGGTCACAGCCAGCCCGGCCAGGTATACGAGCATGTTGAGCGCGGACAAGACTTGAAGATCACCCGCGAGCCTCACAAAAACCCGACACTCGGTCTAAAGATTGGAGTTGCGTTGTCGTACTTGCACAGCGACCTGCCTTGGCATGCCAAGGAAGACGGGTGCTATAAAGGCCTGGCCGCAAATTGATTTTCAAGCCCTGCGTCGAGAGTTTTCATGACATTCCGTCCTGTCGCAGCACGGTTGGCTTCTGGGTCAAGGAGGCCGTCCTCTGTATGGAGCCACAGACCCAGGATGGTTTTGCCGGTCACTCGTGGGTAAGTGCCATAAATCAGCTAGAACAAGATCTCGATTCCAGGCTCCGACTGAATCCCTGGCGGTTCCTGCTTCGGGTTGGAAGAAGCCTGGCCCCTGCTGCACTTTTGCTGCCGGACTCGGCTTTGCGATCTGTGGGCAGCTGACCTCTGTTTCCCTCGATCGCTGCTGAATCGCTCCTCACTGAACCACCCTCAACCAGTGCGTGACGAAAGATGTTTAAGCAAGAAGGCGCTGCAGGCCAGCTAGCGCCTGACAGCATCTGACCATCACAGATCTGAGATCCTGGTATGCCAGTTTAGCACCTCATGCTAATACTTACTCCGAGTCATGCTGGAGTTCTGGCTTGTTCGTGTGTGGTTTGGCAGAAGCCGTATCTGTGGCCATGCCTCGCTGTGCCTGGGAGTGGGTGCAAAGGCGCGTGCATGCACCGGCTTGAGATCATTTCCTGCAGAGCCCAAGTAGCCCTTGACCGTCCGCAGTGTCCGAAGGCAACCCATGGCTACATGCATGCGGCCTGCAAGGCCTGCGCCGTTTGCTGCTTTAACTAGGCGGAGTGTTTCCCAGGCTCGTTGTTCGCAGGTCAATCCCCAGCTGGCCGCGGTCAATGCCGCAATTACAGCTGCGGCAAGAAGCCGTCGTTGGCAGCAGGGCTTGGACCTTGCAAGACAGATTCTGCTCGGTCCCGAGGTGGCTTTGGAGCCTTCTGCTTGTAGTGCAGATGTGGTCCGATCCTGATCTGAGGCCTTCATCGCTCCAACCCAGCGTGATCTCTCTCACATCATTGATCAGCTCCTTGGAGAAAGGTCTCCTGTGGAACACAGCATGCGCGACTCTGGCGGGTACGTGGACCGCAAGTTGGAAGCTCAGTCGAGCACTGGGAAGCCAGGCACACGTAGCACTTATACCGAAAGCTCGCAGCGAACCGCACTGCACCTGATTGAGGTGTTCAACTTGACGTCGTCGCGTTTATGGCCAGCATGGCAGCCTGTGAGAAGGCGCGGTCCTGGAAATGGTCATTCTGGCTTCTGCCGAAGATGCGGCTGGTCTCTCAGGGCGGGCCCTGCCTTACAGCGCGCGTAGTATTTTGTTACTGTCGGCCAAGGTCGGCTTCCCTTTCCCCGGATGCTTTTCTTTACAACGGTGCCAAGCGCTAAGTCTGAGCCTAGGAAGTTTTGACATTCTACACCCTTAGACGGGGTTCCGTCTTAGGCAATCAGTGCATGTGAGAAGTCGGCCAAGTGGATCGGAGCTCTCTGTCTCCTGCGAGAAGTTTCTGAGAAACTTCAGTCCGACCTCGTCTCTCACACCGTGCCTCGTTCTCATCGTATGAGCACGTGATGCCTTCCTATGCAGATCTGCGAGCTGCTGAACTTCATCCGAGGCTTGTGTCAGTGCTTGCGAGAAGGGAGGGCAGTGGAAAATGTCAGTTGGTCCCGTCCTCGTTGAATTCAGATTGTTCTCAGAGCTTTCTCGCGATCTTTACTCTTTTTCCCATCCCCAAGCAGGGGTGGCGAGAGGTGTTCAAGATCTCTTGTGCTACAAAGCTTGGACTACTCTATCGCTCTATCCTCCGGATGTGCAACGAAGTCCCTTCTCAAAGCTGCACTGCGTTCCTACATTGCCGGGGGACGAAAAGTTGTACATGGCAAGGTTCCCGAATCTTGAGACAGAAATTGCAGCAGGTGCATTGCAGAAAGCTGTGACGCGAGCGTACCCAAATGCTGCCCAGGCCTATGGTGCGTTGACCCCGTAGCATGTTCCTTCGTACGCTACGATCGGGCTGCACTCTTTAAATTGAGTCCACGTGATGTTGTAACTCATGAAATGGCACGTTTGTAATGTCGCAGAGCGGATTCCCATGCCGCGCGCGCAAGATGGCGCTCGCTTTTCGACCTCTGGACCAACCGCCCCCAGCTTCCTGTTACGCGTGAACACGAGTCCAGGTTTGCTCTGGTCTATGCCGCATTTGGGTCTACAGCCAAACACCATAAGCAGCACGCTTGCACTTGGACTGTTTGGATGCCTCTGAGTTTAGAAGGCTAGACTTTGCCCTGCTACAGGTTTCAACGCAGGCCTCAGTGCTTGCGAAAAGTCTGGCCTGTGGCGCCAAATTTGCAACCTATTGTCTGCTGCGTCCAGAATCGAGTCTTGGTTGAAGATTTCATACATGCGTCTGAGCTTGGAAACCACAGTCCATGGTGACACTCTCGCTGTAAAAGCAGTCGGAAGGATATGGCACTCGACGTCGTGTCTTCCACAGCTGCTACGAATGCCTGTGCCCGGGGTTGGCGCTGGGAAAGAGCATCCTGGTCGGACGGTTGGACGCACAATGACGCACATGTGAGCATGGTTTAGTTCAACATGCTCCATGCTCCATGGGTGTGCTGCACTGGTCCCTTCTCTGTGTCTCGATCTCAGGCTATTGCCTTCTTTGGCCAGCTCCCTCTCCGCGGAATGAGGCGTGCATCGCACGAGCGCAAGAGCAGACGTGCCTTGGTACTTTGTGCATGTTGCCGAAAGCTCCTTGTAGGACTGATCGTGGACTGGTCAACTCTTGCCTGAATGCGCTCGACTGGGGCCAGCAATGGCTGGCTTCGATGCAGACGGCGCAGAAGTGGCCGCTTGGCAAGTGCAGACAGATGATGCAGATTTCGTTGCCACTTTAGATGCAGGCAGATCTCGGCACTCCTGTCATTTGTGACTCCCCAGGGCCCTAGGGTTTTGGGATATTTTTGAACGTTTGTCTTCAGGAACCTTGTTGTCCAACAGCCGACCAGGGAGTCACAAATGACAGGTGGTTCAACGGCTGAAAATGGAGACCCTTCCAGGGTTTTGGTACATGCCAGCACATGCACCGATTGCTTTCATGTTTGAAACGGAAAACTGGGAGTCACAAATGACTGTAGTCAGTTTGCCCAAATCTGCAATATTTCCTAGGCGCGGTGCTCATTTTTAAGAAATCTTCGTTTTCCCTGGGTTTGGTGCATTTTCTCGCTGAAAATGCAGTTTTTCCTAGGCTTCGTGCACTTTCGCACGAAAGTAGTGTTTTTCCCTAGGAGAGGTGTATTTTTCGCACAACGCACAACCATATGCCTGCTTCCAATTCAGAATTATATATATATATATATATATACACACATATAATACATATATATATATATATATATGTATATATATACACACAAACATAATCAATTTAAAATATAAAATATATATGTATTATATAGTATATATTATATAACCTATAATATATACTATATAATGTATATTATAAAATACAATGTATAATATAAAGTATAATATATATATATATATATATCATATATCATATTAAGAATTATTAGATAATATATAGTATATAATATATAGTATAAAATATAATACATAATACATAATACATAATGTGTAAGGTATGTATTATATGTCATATTATGCAAAAGTATAATACAAGAGCATACAATATAAAATTAATACACTTTTATACAAGACAATATATTATAATGTAATATAGCATAATCTCATGCAGGAATATATTGTCTAGTATTGCATATGCAGCTGATCGTCGACGCTCAAAGGGGTGAATCCAAGAAGAACCTTTGACCCGAAAAACTCTGGGGTGAATCCAAGAAAACCTTTCACCCAAGACGAAGACCTTAAGGAGTGTACCCAGCAACATTCTATTACCGAAAACGAAAAAACCCTAAGGAGTGAATCCAGCATGAACCTTTAGCCGAAGATGAAACCCTTAGGGGTGAATCTGAGAAGAACCTTTCACCCAAGACGAAGACAAAAAGGACGGAACCCAGCAGGAACCTTTTGCCCAAGGTGAGACCCTGTACCCTAAACCCTTACACCCCAATCCCTAAACCCTAAACCCCAGCAACATTCTATTACCGAAGACGCAAACCCTAAGGAGTGAATCCAGCATGAACCTTTAGCCGAAGATAGTGAACCCAGCAGGAGTGGATCCAAGAAGAACTTTTCACCCAAGACGAAGACCCTAAGGAGTGAACCCAGCAGGACCCAGTGCCGAAGACAAAAACCCCTAAGGGCTGAATCCAACAAGAACCTTTCACCCAAGACGAAGACCCTAAGGAGTGAACCCAGCAGGAACCTTTAGCCGAAGATGAAACCCTAAGGGGTGAATCCAAGAAGAACTTTTCACCCAAGACGAAGACCCCAAGGAGTGAACCCAGCAGGCCCCAGTGCCGAAGACAAAAACCCAAAGGGGTGAATCCAAGAAGGACCTTTCACCCAAGACGAAGACCCTAAGGAGTGCTCACAGATGACCAGAAGAAGGAAAAGTAAGGGAGTCACAGATGACCGGTGTTGCTGTGTGAAAACCACATTGACAAGCAAGGCAAAAGGGTCGGGAGTCACAGATGACAGGTGCTTGTTTGAGAGGAAATCACAGGCCTGCCAATGAATATGAGCACTTTCGGGTGAGGTGATGTGTGGTGATGGCAGGCGGAGGGAGTCACAAATGACGGGGATTTGCCTAGGCCAGACCCAGGAACCTAGGGAGTCACAAATGACAGAAATAGGGAGTCACAAATGACAGCCAAACTCATTAGGTTGGGAAGGATGGATGCAATCAGCATCGGGTCCTTGATGAGCGCAGGCTGGCGGCATGCAAGCTAGTGGGCGTGACATGTGCTGATGGGAGCCTGCAGGTAACAAGTGTTTGCGCTGGCAGATCTCGGCCAACCTTTACCATTCTGCCAAGCTGGGGCCCTAGATGAGGAGGGCCATTGAGTGCAAGCAGCACGGCTCCGCACCTCCAAGAAGCACATGGCTCTACGGAAAGCCTGCTGGGAGGTCTCTGGAGGTTGCGGCTGATACTGTCCTCCTAGATGCCGTGCCTTGGATTCACACATGCACACGGCCGAGAAATTCGACCGGGATTTGCACCCAAGTCCCGTCACTTCAGGCTATCAGCTCCCAGGCCGTGAATCGGCGGTGGAGAGGAGCCACAGTCTTGCTTGCGCAAGCGAGATCAGCAGGACCCCAGGGCCCGGGGTCGCACTTTGAAGCATGCTTCACGCCAACAACATAAGTCGGAAGACAGGAAAAAGTTTGCAAAAAGGCTTGCAATTGGATGCTGCTGAAGAGTGAGATTGGCCAGCTGGCCTGCTACTTGTACCTGTGCAATCGAGCCGCTCAACTTCTCAAAGCCTTGGGAGCCGCAGCATCTGGTGCAAAGCGCCGGGAGGCGCTTGAAGCCTTCTCCGCTTACTGTGCTGCTTCTGCACTGCTAAAGCACGAGACAACTCGCAATGATCCTCAATCGAGCCTGCAAGACGGGGGATGACGTCAAGCGCAGATATGGCGAGGCTGCACATCTAAAGCCCCAAGCCTTCGGAAGAGGTCGGCATCAAGCAGTCTGCGGTTGACGGTTCTTAGGGCATGCCAGAAGTGCTTCCCGTCTGTCTCATGCGTGGTGTGCTTCCGTCGCGTGCAAAACTCCGGTAGACCGTCTCCCTTGTGGCAAAAGCTGTATATCTTATCAGCCCAGTTCCATGTTGGAGATTTGGGTGGGAGTGAGGTAGCTGCCATATACGAGAACGCCCCACCTCCCTTACAGCCACGGAGGACCCTTTGTTCGGCCGAACATCCAACACGACTCCATGAAATCCCGACAATCAGCGGAGTACAAGCGCATACGGCACATACGGGCAGAAATGACTCAGGTCGTGCTGAGGCTTCGGTCGCAAAGTGGTGTTGGCCATATTGATCTCCATGACTCTCAGTATTTGGCTTTCCTGTTGTATCCTGTTGTCACGATTCCAAGTTTCAGAGCGCCAACTGCTTACGCTGTCTGACTGTTGGTATTCAGTGCTTGCAAGAGGCTGTACGGTCATCTTTCTATCTTCGGTACCATTGTTGATGTTTGTGAGTTCTGTGAACATGCTGCGGTGGTGCTTTTATTTTGCACTGCAGTGCGTTCGCGTGGTTATGGCCAGAGACGTGTGTGCTTCTGGCAGGATTGGAGCCGATGCTCGCCACAGGCAATGCGCTCTTAGCATCTTGCAGCAAGGCAGGTTGAGCCGTGCAGATTGTTAGTTGAAAGTGCCGGGGCTTGGCCTTGGAGGCGAGTTGGCAGCTGGTGCTTCAGCTTCTGTGTCTGCAGAGGGAGATGCGCCTGGATGCCACGCTCTGAGGAACGACAGATGCATGGGGAGTCAGCCCTGGGCCCTGTCACTGAGGTCATTGCTTACAACTCCGCCCTCAGCAGCGTTGCAGGTTGGAAGCAAGGCCTGGAGCTGCTGCGAGACATGGCCGCCTCACGGAGCTTGGCAACTTGGCAGCCAAGGGCAGACACGAAGTGCAGCCTTAAGATTAAGTCATCGGCTTGTTCCCTCGCCGGTTGCACCCTCTGCAAAGCCTCGTGTCCCTGAGGACACGTCCAGCTACGGTCTCCTTGTTGACCTTTGCATTCGGGGTGGCCAAGAGGCAGCGCTGAGGCTTCTTCATGCACTCTCATTGAACTGCGTGAGCCTGTTGAAACGACAAATGGCTTAATCAAGCTGCAAGCTACCAGTGTGCGCGGTAATAACACCCGCGCAATGGACTCAGCTTACGCCGCCTGTGGTCATTTGCGACCAGGCGGCAGTGTTTCACCATACTGTTTGTTTCTGCAACCCTCTTTGTTTGATGACGGCGGTGCCTGACTTCTCTGGAAACAGAGCACGCTCGCTGTGCCATTTCTTGCAGCTGCGCATTGTTTGTCTGTGCCAACATGTTAGGTTCGGAGGTGAGGAACCTATTCCAACAGTACAGCCGGCTTCTAAGTAAGAGATTGCGGTCCAGTTTTCTCCACCGTGTCTTCAGGAATGCCCCTCCGAGCTAAGGGTCCACCTGAACATGGACGAAGTTCTTTTCAAATCTGCAGATGACAGAAAAGTCGAAGGGGATCAGGCCTTGGAGAAAGAGGCGGGACATGTTGAGAGGGCATTCCGCGGGTCACGTGCGTGTTGTCCCTGCCTGCAGGACTGGCAGGGTGCGATCCGACACTTCACTGCCCGGACCTTGGGATCTCTCAGAGCAGTGCTGACATGTGCTCTGCTAGGATGGCATCGACACCATGAAGAGGGCCAATGATTGCCTTAGTGACGGCTTCAAGAGTCGTACAGTTCTCAGCAAATCGATTGCAGAGGATCCGTCAGCGATGTCGTTCCACCTAGATCTGGTTTGAGGTGCTTCGATTCTCCTGTCTCGAAGAGGCGGAGCACACATGAGGATGCAGGATTCCTCGAGTTTCAGTCGTCTTGGGCACGGAGTGCGCGTGGCCACCTGAGGAGCCCAAAGCCGCACTTCGGGATGCAGTAGCTGCCATGGACCTGGAGCGACAAGAAGCGGAGGCACACTCTGCAGTGCCGAGTCCGAGATATAACCATCAAACGCCACAAGGTCGAGGCAATATGGTAGACTGCGACATGTGTTCCAGTCGTGACATGCAAACATCCGCGCTCAAGACATGTCAGCTGAACGAAAGAAGCCACACACTCTGTGGCTCGCCATGCGATCCCAAGTGTTCAGAGCCAGACATAATGTCGCCGTGCTGGGCTGCTTGACATGTTGGCATGTTTTGAGTATTTCGTATCTTTCCGGAGAAATCTGGAAGCTTGCATGGGGCTGAGGCTTCTGGGTGTTGATTGCGCAACATGGCACCTTGCTTGCAGCGAGGCCTCGGCCGTGGCACGAACCTCGAACCTCAACCTGAGAAATCCACAGCAAGCGGCTGTGTTGGCCTTACGGAGCACCTCTCCCCCCGACAAAAACAAGGTACCTACCGTATTGACAGCAAATGAAGCGCACAAAGAGTTAGTTCTCCGGGTGCCTTCAGCGGCCAAACTGCCGAAGCTGTCTGTAATGGCATGGTCTGTGTGATTGCATGGCAAGGATACGCGCCAGTGCTGTTCACCGGGCCTGGCCGAGAGAAATGCCGGCGTGAAGCAACACGGCTGAGTGCGGGGCCATCCATCGAAAAAGCCAATGAGCGGCCCGGATGCATCCGAAGTCCGAAGCTTGCTTTGGCATCGGGTGATGGGGTTGTTCCCTGAAGAAGAAAGGCAGCTCCAGGAGCTGGGAATGAATCTCAAAGACCTGGAAGAGAGCTTCTCCCGTTCAGCCGGCCCTGGTGGGCAGAACGTCAACAAGGCCTGGGAGGGGAGGAACTCCTTGGTGCCACGCATCTCTTCTGGACCTGACAGGTTGAAACTGCTGTCCGCTTGCGGCACACACCAACAGGGCTTGAGGTTGGAAGTGGCAAACAGGGGAGTTCTGGACGGAGCTGCTGCGAGCATTTATCCAGTTGAAAAGCCTCTACAGGTGAAGGCACAGACGCATCGAACCCAGCTCGAAAATCGCGTTTCAGCTCGCCGACGCCTGGCAGAGTTGTAACTGGGCGGCAGCGGAGCCGTGTCAGCCAGCTGCAACCTGTTGTTTCTGCTGACTTGCTGACTTGCAATGCCGAAAGGTATAAGAAAACTGTGCTGGGAGTGGAGACGAAGGCAGACAGACGTTTGCGAGCGTGCTTTGAAGAATCGCAGCCCAAACGTGATGAAGACCTTCAGGCTGACCGCAAGGCTCAAAAAGTCCGCAGCAACAAAGCGCGACGAGCACGACGCAGGCGAAAGAAGGCAGAGGCGACACTGCTCGAGGTTGCCGAGTCTAAGTGAAGTCTTCATGCTTGGCCTTGCCCAGGCTGCGCTTGCACAGGCCGCAGACGCAGGCGCAGATGGTGCCGAGGGCAACGAGGGCGCCGAGGAGACGACGTGCAGGGCTGAGCGACTTGCCAGGCCTGGCGGCATGCCTTTCAGTGCGTGCCGTCCTGCAGGTGACACGACATCTCCACAGTCCACCATTCTGACCATCTTTCGTTGGCAAAGCATCGGCAACATCCTGCTCCTTACAACAGCCTCCCCACCGTGACTGTGAAGTCCCAGTGCTCGGCTGCGCACCAGAAGCCGTACCGGCAGTGGCAGCAGCAGCAGCAGCAGCAGCAGCAGCAGCAGCAGCAGCAGGGGCAGCAGCAGGGGCAGCAGCAGGGGCAGCAGCGGCAGCAGTGGCAGCGGCGGCAGCAGCAGCAGCAGCAGCAGCAGCAGCAGCCGGTACTGAGTTCGCGTGTGACGAAACGGCAACTGCAAGAGACAATCCAGGAGATGTACAGTCGGTACACGCGCAGAAACCAAGTGCGTCCTTGCTGGGCTTGGGGTGTGATGAACTTGCGAGAGGAATGCGTGTAAGTTGAGCAGCCTCAGCAGGCACTAGCACGTGAAGCGCTGCGCGAGTTGGGCTTCAAGGCAGGGGATGGGGATCGGCTCTTCAAAGCTGTTCCGCTCTCCTTTCAGATTTTGTCGCCTGCTGGAGGACGAAGCTGTGTTGCAGAAGATTCTGGACCGCAACTGCTTGTTGCAGCCGTGGTCAGCTCTTTTATCTGCTGGCTGTTTCAAACCGCCCTCCCTTCTCCGCTCAGATTCGAAAGGGTGGTGCTTTTTTCTCGACATCCGCTCTACACCATGTACTGTCGTTTTGCATTGTTAAACGGGGCTTGCCATTTGACTGCTGTCTTGCGCCCGTAGAGTTTCAAGTGGACATCGGACGTTGCCATCGGGTTCTTGATTTGACCTGCTTTAGCGGTTGCCAGAGTGTTCGACAAGCAGAGAGTTTTGATGCAGACCCATGCCGGTACAGTGCTATCGCGGCACGACATGCAGGCTTTCCCTACACGTGCCAACCTACCCTTCCAGTCGCCTGCGCAGTGCCAGCTGCCATTTGAAGGAGCCCGTGGGCAGTGGCCGCATATTGGATCCAGCAGCGTTTTGGCAGAGATTTGGGCGTGCAGCAGCGCGGCGGAAGGCCGAGTAGTCCTTCAGTTGCAACAAGGCCCCGTTGGTGCTGAGATGTGTCTGGATCTGAGCGCCTTCCGAGCCGCTTGCTGTCGGAACGGGTGCTACGCGTAAGACTGCTAAGATTGATCGATGGACGGCGGATGTCCTGAGCCACTTCTCCCAAGTTTCTGTGCAGTGCCCAATGCATTTGCACAGGTTGTCACAACGGATGCATATGCGAGAGAAAGTGTGTTCGAAAACGCCATAGAGGCTGACTGCGCGGAGGAGATGCCCATGCCAGTGCACATGCCTTCAGACAGGCAGAGCATCGGACAGAGCAAAAGGGTGCTTTGCTGAACCGACACACACACACACACCTCTATCGCGGTTCGGAGGTATTTGGATGGCCTCGACGAAGAGACGCGAGCAGCAGTGATCCGAAAGTATGTTCCGCAAGAACAGTTTGGAGGTTCCTGCCTGAGAACTTCTACAATCAGCAGTGTCCACGCTTGTCCAATAGCTGGCGAGGAACAGCCGTCATCTCAACACCGGCTGAATGTGTGGACCTGATGAAGAAGTGGGAGGAGGTCCACGTGAACACTACGCTTGTCGATACGCCGTCATGAGCAGCCTGGAAGGTATTTACTGGTCCCGAATTTCAGAACGGCACCCAGTTGATTGCAGTCCAGTGAAGCTTACTGCCATGCAGCTTGAGGTGCAGGAGGAAAGCGCTTTGGGATCGGCGGGACTTGTCCTTCCCGGCTCGAATGAGAGAAACCAGGCCGGGCAAAGACGGAGCTGGATACGTTCTAGATACAAGGTGTAAGTGGAAGCCAGGACTTCCTTTTCATGTTTTCACGGGTGATATGGTTGTTCCTTACCGCTGGCCCGTTGCTGTCACTGGGCCCCCCCCTAAGCTGCATCTGGTGCCCCAAAGTCAGGTACGAACCTGCCAACATTTGTCGCATTCGGACTTGTCTCACACCCGCACGTCGTCTTCTGAAGTTCTGAGATTCTACCCTAGCAAAAAGGCCCCTTCGTGTGGCAAAGATGCTTCCTCGCGTTCGTGATCAAGAGAATGCCCTCTGAACAGATGACCAGGACGATGGTGGCAGAGAGCCTCTCCAAGGTGCTCGAGCCGATGGGGTTTGCGCCTGGAAAGCCGAGAGCTTTGCAGCTACCGAAGTGAATGCTGCTCTGGACTCGGGAGCTATGTGTTGGCTGCCGGTAAGGCCTGGCTTGGCCCGCTGCATCAAGCAGATGCAGGTGCGCCCTTTGAGACAGTGGTCAGCAAACTTTTCTGAGCTGCAGGTATATTGGTCCACCGACAAGGCTTGTGCCGACAAGGTCGGCAGCAGCTAAAGGTCGTGATGACTCGTCAGACATTGCCACCTTCTGCTGCAAGACGAGAGATGCAAAATGCTGGGCTTAACGGGTCTTAGATTCCAGCCACAACCCTTTGTTAGAGCTAATCGCTGGGATGGAGCAGGGAGCACTGTAGCCACAGCCAGAGTAAGAAGACGTAGCATTGCATTGCGTCCTCGCCATGGCCGGTGCGATCGGAGTCATCTGTTTCCTTGGTCCATCCCATGCCTGAAGTCAATGGTGTGCGATTTGCCAGACTCTGGACTGCCTCCATGCGCAGAGTGACCCTATCTGAACTTCTGATGGACACTTTCCTGAAGTTGTCCAGGACTCTGGACGGCGACGAGGATGATGATAACGAATTCGTCCGGTTCCCATCTCGGGGCAAAGGGGTGCCTCACTGCACTTCGTCGGAGCTCTCTCGAGGTATGGAGCCCAGAGATTGAGGAGCTCGAGCTGAAAGGCTCGCACCTGCTTTCTCTCTTCGATGGGTTGGATTCCAGGACCTCTGCTGTCACTGAGCGTAGGCGACTGTACAATGAAGACATGCTTACAGGTGGTCATGGCCCTTTGGGCAGGTTGTGCTTCAGTGCTTCAGTCAGGGTTCAGTCGCTTACGGAAGTTTCCAAGTCCCAAGCCGTGGCGCAGGACGACGGAGGTCATCGTCAGTGCGCCGAACTTTGGTCACGCAAAGTCCTTGCTGCTGGCAGCCTGCCAGGCTGCAGGTGGATTTCCGCGTGCTTGCCAACGGCAGGGGTTTGTCATGACATAGTCTGCATAGACCTGAAAGTCACTTCTGGATGTAGTCAGGTGCCCCAACTTTCTGCCCGGAAGAGGTGGACGCTACAGCGCCACTCCTGCACATGTCTTTTTTCATGCAGGGGTCATCAGCTCTTTGGCTGCGACAGGCAGTCCGTGTTGTCGCCGATTCCTTGAAGAGCCACATTGGCAGAGATGTCTGCGGCCACCGGGCGTCAGTGTCCGAGGAGCTGGGCTGCAGCTTGGCTGTCTCGACTAACCTTGGCCTGGTGTTAGGGTTTGCAAATCTAGTAATCTAGTTCTTCGCACAGCCTGTTGCCCGGCAGCGCTTAGCAGACTTCCGCATCTTTCGCGCTCCAACAGCCATCTACATCCATCTTCATCCCTTCATCTAAATCAAGGAAGGTGCAATTTGACGTTCTTGAGCTTAGGCTTGATGCTCACATTGAGAGATTTTCGCCGTCCGTTTGATGAGCAGTTCAGTTCCGAGCTGGCTGGCTTGATCGAAGAATCCCTTTCGCAGCTGGTCTGAAGAGATGCTGGGGGAGAGATTTCTGTGCAGACTTCTGCCGTGCCCGGGGCGGGGCCGAGGAGCGTGTCTTCCCTGCCTACACTTGGCTTAGACTCCTCGAAGCCGGCAGTGAGCGCAGCAGCCCGGAGGGAGGCCTATGCAAGCCTAGGCCCGGCTGCAACGCCGCGTGTTGATGAGGTCATTCATCGTTGTTTTGGGTTTCTTGCCAGACACCGCCTTTCATGCGCAGCTAATGGAGCATTGCTCTTCAGCAATCCCCTGCATTGGAGGACTCGCAGCTGGAGCAGCTGGGACCGTGGTGACAGGAGGCAGTGCGCTCGTGGCTGTCGGCTTCGCAGCAGCAGCCGCAAGCCTCGGCGCGCATGCTGCGATGGGGCAGACAGACCCGACAAGCCCAGCAGTGGGCTGCGCCTTTGGTCGGGGAACTTCTAGAGACTTGCGAGTCAGCAGCGCAGCGGCGATGCTGCGAGAGTTGTTGAAGACTGGGGTGGACCTGTCCTTGGTAGATGAGCTCACGGACGAGGAGCGTGTCCTAGGCGGACATTTAGCAGCTCTCAGGGTGAGGGAGGCGCAAGTTGTCGCTTCCGAAGACGACACGCCGCCCACCTTGATGGCCCCGCTTGGCCTGCTTGTGAACAACGACAACCCACTACTAACATCCATGATTCTTGCAGCAATGGCATTGATCACCGACTCCATGGCTGGAGCTGGTGAGATCAATGGCTATGTGCTTCGCTCGGTCCGGGTACGTGGTTGCCGTGGTTGTGCTCTGCAGTTTCGAAGGGCTCACTCTTGCCCACTCATGTAGTCCATCGTGACGTTCACGGCTGTCTTGGGATTGGCACAGGTCGGACCTGCTAGACCACCACCGTGCATAAAGAGTCTCGGCAGTCTCTCTCGCAGCTGAAAGGGACAAGTCCGGGACCCCACAAGCAGCAGCGAACAAGACCCGAAGTCCGCCGCTCTCAGAAATCTCAATGAGTGCCTTCGTTGCTCGTCGAGACCAGGTGTGGTTGCTGTACTAGTACTTTCTTCTACCTGGGCAGGCGTTGGACCTCGAGGAGCTTGCGGATGTGAGCCTGGCAGACTTAGAGTAGCACCTATGGCGCAACTCAAAAGTTTTGCTCTTTCTGGTGATGCCAACAAGTGCAGCCCGCTCTTACGACCGTTCCTTCCGCGAACAGTCAAGTTGCAAAAAAGTTTCGATCTGTGGTGTAATGTCTCAGAGGAAGCGGACTTCCGAGCAGCAAAGTGGCCTGCCGGTCTCTCGCCAGAATGCCGCATCACTGCATCATTCTTTATACCGCAGATCCTAGCCGTCCAAGGTGCAGTAAGTCTTTAATTGCGCTCATCTCCAGTATTCTCTATGGCATAGTTGCTTGTTGCCCAGAAGCCCCTTCCCAAGACCGACGCAACTCCACACAGCACAGTTGGTGCTTTCAACAACGCACAACTTCGACACGGAAGGTTGCCTGCGGCATTGCTGAACAACACGCTGCAAGCAACGACAGCAGAAGCCAGTCATATCGACGTAGGCCCAGCCTTCAGGATAGTATGGTCCAAAACGGTGCTTGGAAAACGACGACCAAAGTCAGTCCAGACACGAGTGTGCTTCGCAAACTTGGGTTTGCCTTGACTATGCCGGATGCCCCTGCAGCAGCCTTGCAGCAAGTGGGTTTGGCAGGCATCAGCAATGCACCTTAAATGCACTCAGCCAAGCACGGCATCAAGTCAATCTGGTCATGGCGCCATTTGTCTACATGTAGCAGCATGTATGGCGGAGGCAATTGCTGCTTGCTTCACAAACCCGGTCGATGTGGTGAAGGCCTGGCGCCAGGGCCCTGGGTCTTCGGGCAGAGTTGCACGTTGGGGTGTTGCAGGTGCGCATGCAGTTGGCGGGCGTCTCCCAGATCACAAGCTGCAACGCCCAGACGGCGCTGTCCTGAGCCACTTCTCCCAAGTTTCTGTGCAGCGCCCAAGGCATGTGCACAGGTTGTCACAATGGATGCATAGGTGCTGGGCGCCGGCCGAAAACTCTGGCAGCAGGAGGGCCCCGCTGGCTTGCAGCGAGGCGACTGCGTCATTGCGGTGCAACGGTGTGCACTTTTCTCTGCAGAGCCCTGGTGTGTCTCGTGACTTGCGGATTTGCTTGTCGCGCCGTGTCTGCAGAGCAGAAGAGAGTGTGCATGGCCGTTCTGTGCTCTGGCAAAAGCAGGCGATGTAACCCTCAACGCAGACGGCGGCGAACACAGGCGAACCAACCGCAAATGCAAGTGTACCATGCAAAACCAGAAAGCAACATGTGATCTGACGAAGTGCTTCACGGATCCCATACAAAAGACAAAAGCAGTTTCGGCAGGCGTCCGGCACTGCTCGAACACTGCGCGGACTCAAACACCATGACACCTTGCCCGGCCCGACTCTTCTAGTGGATCCCTTTGATTCTTGAGAGAACCCGTCCGGTTCCCCGCAAGCCGGCAAGTGCACCGTGCAAGCAGGTTTGGTAGAGGGCATCGCGCAAGTTGGGTCAAGTTGGGGTTGTGAGAAGGCGACGGGCGACGGCAGGCAAAAAAGTACAACACGAGCACAAAACAGCCCGTGCTCCACACGCAGCAGAGGACGTCCGCAACACCCGAATGCCAGTCTCAGCGGAACGAGTTCTGTGTGTTGTAGCAGATTCAGTGCCGGATACCTCTCGGTTGTTGGTTTGGTGTTGCTGGCAGAGCTGCGTGTCAGAACATGCCTTCGCTGCTCAGGGCTGCGACCGTCAATTCTGCGAGAGCTGTCCTACAGTGGCATGCGCATGGGCCTCTACGAGCCCGTCCGTGAGACGCTGGCAGGTAGAGGAGGCCTGGTTTCTATAATTCTCAGAATATCATGTGTGCGAACCAGCCGATGCCGGAGCACGTTGAATCCAGAATCTTCAGCAATTCTTTGAGGTGGTCAAGGATCAGTTGGTTTCGGGTTTTTCTGGGCCCTACGAGCTCTCAACCTGAGTGGATGTAAGTTGTCTGTTCTGCTTTGAAGACGAGGCCAACAGGAGAAGAGGCAAAGAACTTCACCGCTGTTGGTCAAGATCCTGGCTGGGGCAATTACAGGCAAGCAAGTCGAAGACTTTGATGCCTTGCTGCCCTTGCCGAATGTTCACGGGGCGCTAGGTGCCATCGGCTCCGTGATTGCGAATCCATTCGACCTGCTCAAGGTGCGAATGCAAGGAGGAGGCAGGGTTTCTGCGACCTTTCTGAATTGGGCATGTAGTGACACGACATCGTTTGTGGCGGACTCGCCTGAGCCTGAGTCTTCATCAGGTGACCGAAGAATTCTCCAGCATCGTCCGGGGCGGAGGAATTGCCGGGCTCTGGCGCGGAGCCGGCCCCACTGTGCAAAGGGCAACTTTGCTCACGGCCTCCCAGGCCAGCGGAACACCGGAAGCTCTGGGCAACAGTTGGGCAACAGCTCGCAAGCTTGATTCATCTCTTCAGGTGCCCAGCTATGACCATGCCAAGCACACGCTTCTCGATTTAGGCCGACGGGTAGGTACATGGGGGCTTCCGCAGCAGCAGCGAAAAGCAGATTCTTTTTTCAGGCCTCGTGCGTGAGGGCCCCTTATCTGCAACTGGCACGGCTTTGGGAAGTCATGGTGCAGATGTGGACATGGCCTGCAAGATCCCTGCTGAAACCTTGCTGTGCCAGGTTATGTATGCCACTTTGCATGCAGTATGCTGGCAGGGGTTGTTGCAGCGGCAGTCACAAGCCCCGTCGACTTGGCAAAGAGTCGGATCATGTCGCAGCCCCTGGACCCGGAGTTTCTCGGCAGGGTTTGCCGGTCGTCTTTTGCAATGCTGTCTTGGGAGGAACGCACCTGAAGCCTGAAGCTTAGGACACGGCGTGGCGCGCTTTACACAAACACCTTGGACTGCTGGAGAAAAACTGCAGCTGCCGAAGGCATTGGGGCCTTGTTCCGAGGCTTCAACATGCAGTGGATGAGGCTTGGGCCTCACACGACGATTTCTTTAATGTGCTTCGAGCAGCTCCGTTATTTGGCTGCCCAGCTGCATCAAACAAGGTTTTTTGTTTGGGTGACGTTGTTGAAGCATTTACTGAATGGCGTACTGTCCCTGCCTTGCTTCAACATGTGACGACAGAAAGCCAAGGCTGGCATGAACTTTCTGTAGGCACGCACAGTGCCCTGAAGCCATGCACTAACTGCGCCATGTAAAGTATCGAGTGCTCCGCTGTTGATGTGGACGCTTAAAGAGCGCCCTAGGCCCCAGCCTTTTGCTCCCTCGCCGACAGCCTGAAAGACAGACATTTGTGGCCGCCAAAGCACTGAGCATTTTTGCGAGTCGGTGCTTTTCGTTTCTGCAGTGCACTCACAGCATCTCACAGCCGTCAACGCGCAGATTGCATGCCAGAAGCTCCAACAGAGCTCCTGCAGCTTACCGCTGATGTCGGTTCAGTGGAACGGAAGAGAGCATCACAGATAACCACATTCCAGGCCCCCTGCATCAAACTATTTACTGAAGTCTTTAAAGGGCAGGGCAATGTTTGGTGGCTTCCTCGTGTTCAATGCGGACACCGGTGCCTCGACTGGCAAGCACATGGTCGGGTGTAGAATCTGATCCCTACATGGTGTTAGTGCTACTCATGGCGTCTTTGTGCTAAACATTTTAATCACGTATGATTCAGTTCTTTGCGAGTCCCCTCACTGGATTCGCTGGCATGCTTGGGTTTCTGCCAGCGTGAACGCGCGAAAGGTCTTGATTCCCCTTACCAGACCCGGGCTCGCTTGACATGAACTAAAAGAGCTGTCGGGCTTGTATCTTGTTTCATTGGTGGAACCAAAGGATTGAGTTTTGGGGTTCTGTTGACGTCCATCTTCGGAGCCTTCCCAAACATCACGGACAATATCGTTTCCTGTGCAGTCTCATCTGCCGAACCATGAAACATATAGGAACCCCGGGAGAAGATGGCTCGGCAAAACAACCGAAAGCCATCTTAATGGCCGCAAAGGTGGGTGAAAGCTTGCATCCGAACTCCGTAAAGAATTACCGGTGGCATGTGAAAATTCGAAACTAGATAGATTCGTCGATTCCCTCCCCTCCGGCCGCTCCGAAAATCCCCATTTGCCCGCGGTTTGGGGTTTGGGGTGCAAAGATGTATGGTGCGGGGTGCGGGCTTTTGGGCTTGAGGCTCGGGTTTGGAGGCTGGGTATTGGGTTCCCTCCGATTATTTTCCCAGATGTGCCATCTGTTTGCTCGGGGTTTGGGGTTTGGGGTCGGAAGGTTGCAAAGACATAGGGTGCGAGGCGTGAGCTTTTGGGCTTGAGGCTGGGTTTGGAGCCTGGGTGTTGTCTTTGAGGGGCATGGGTTCGGGATGGTTCGGGTTTCTTTGAGGAGCATAGGTTGCGGTCACACCCGCTCCTTCCCTCTTCCTCTTCCTGGTTCTCGTTCTTCTCTCCCTGTCTCGCGTGTTCTTTTCCTGCGCCATCTATTTGCTCGGGGTTCGGGGTTTGGGGTCGGAAGGCTGCAAAGATGCAGGGTGCGGGGTGTGAGCTTTGGGTTTCAGGAAATTCGTTGCGATTGGATGCCATCTTTTCTGCCGGTTTGAGGGTCCACGGGAGGTTGCGGAAATCCATGTGTTGAGCCCCCCCTATGCCATGTTACCTTGCCGAAAACCATATGCCATCTTTACAGGGGGTACTACAGCAGGAGCAGACGTGCAGATCCCTTGAAGGACTGAGATATCTCCGACGGGAAAACGTTTTGGAAACGAAACATGTGGGTACGGAAGAAACCATGGAGCCATCGACATATTCCAATAATGGAGGAATCCAAACAGTCCGTTAGGATCGCTGTGAAGATCGACAGTTGTCTATCAGTCTGTATCGTGAAATCTTTGCGACTCCGTGGATTGGAAAAGCTGGCAAGACTTATCAGGGAAGCCAGGCAAACCTCAAGAACTCCTCAGAAAGCTAGAATCTGACCCCAGCAAAGGTCCGGGAAAAGGAACATCCCGAATACAACGAGCTCAAACGACTAGGCGCTCCGGTGTTCCACCGGCGTTTCGAGTTGGGCTTCGGTCTGCCGATTGCGGAGCGGCAGCCTTCGTTGGCCGACCCTGTGGGTGTCTTTGCATGCAGATGTTTGCTTTTCTTTGATTTGCTTGCAAGCTCCAACGCATACATGACATTGAGCGGCGTTTGGGTTTTGAGGCTTGGCGCTGCAGCTCTTTGCCTTCAGCCGCTTCTCAGACGGGTTGCCTAGTGCCCCCAAGCTCGAGTCCCTCCGCTTCGGCCGCGCGGGCACCGTGGGCGACATCTTTCTGGCCTCGGCATCGCTGCCCGATCCCATCGCAAAAGATGCGACGTTGCGCCTCACACTGGTGGTCTTCGGGGATGCTTTGCCGAAACGCCGAAACTGGTGGATGGGTGTCGTTCTAGATTCTAGAGCTGCCGAAAGAATATGCAAGAATCAGAACGTGTCTGTTTCTTAGGATCTGTCGGCAAAACTCGGATCTCGGCTCTCTCAGAGCCTTCTGCAAGACTTCGCGGAGGATGTTTGGGTATACATGCTGTGGAACTGAATGTCCGTTGTCTCGATGTTCCTTCCAGGAGAATGTGACTTCGATCAAGGTCTTGCACCCAGAACAACACACGGAGCCGTCCCCGGGCAAGACCACCTGGCATTTCCATACCCTGGCCTGGCACTCGGTAAATATTCGCGTATCTCTTCTGGTGTGTTTTCGAGTCCAGATCGTGGCCTTGCGAACGAGGATTCATCTCTGGAGTCTGTGGTCGACTGGCTCGCAGATGATGTCGCACGAGCTTTGCCAAACCTCCCCCCTTGGCTGTGTGTGCTACGCTTCGATCAGGATCTCAGGGTTTCTGATTTGCCTAGCAGTAACAAAGGGTATGCCCGCCCGAAACTCTCGCCAGGAAAAGACGAGGAACAAGCTCAACATTGGTCATGTCGAAGTAGGCACCCCTCGTCCACCTGCTGAGCCACCGGCGAGTGCGCGTGGGCGCCCGAAGTCATTTGCTCGCCGGCTTCTTCATCAGTTCCAAGGAGTTGTTGTGCATGCTTGCAAGGGCTAGCGGCTGGCAATAGATGCTGCTACATGGTCTAGTGTGTTCAAACGGTCTTGAGGACTTGCAAGCGCGGCCACGGGCACGCCGAGAGCAAAATCCGAGGATACCAGGGTCAAGAAGTCAGCGAGCGAAAACGACGGAGATGTCGTCCGTGGTCAACCTGCGAAGTGGCTGGGCCGAGGCCCAGGCACATCAGGTGAAACGGAATATTTTTCATTGACAGCCTTCATGTACGAAGGGCCTGAAGGCTGCGCAAAGGAGCCGCTTCCTGCCAAGACATCGGAGCCAGTCCTTGAAGCTGCCAAATGTTTGCTGACGCCAAAGTCGAAGGGCGCTGGCTGGACTCTGCTGGAGTTAGGTCCGGAGAGCTGGTTTCGGCACTCGTCTCAGGATTGCCATTTCTGTCTCGCCCTGACTGTGGGGTCAAGCAGATCGCACATCCTGGTTCCTTTGAATGCCGTTCACGAGGGCACAACGAAAGAGTTGAACTCGTTAGACTGCGCGTCGCTAAATCAGATTTGTGCCAGCGTTCGTCGGAAGTTGGACGCGGAAGCTACGGCTGCAGCTACATCACTTCAGGTGTGGGTTGCCATAATCGTAAGTGAAATGCTTAGAGTCACGGGAGGGACGGCAGAAACCAAGGAAGTGCAAAGCCTCATTCTTTGGCTTTCTTCACCGGCCGGGTCCACAGCCTGTGGAGTTCGTGAAGCTGGAGCACGGCGCAGGACTAAGGGCCCAAACAGAACACAGCAGCTCGAGGCATCCGTGAAGGCTGCAGTTTGGGCAAAGGTTAAAGTAATCACTGGGGAGACACATGCTCAAGATCAGGAGCAATTGAAGCTGCCCTGCTTGGCCGTGATGCGCTGGCAAAGCCAATGGTCAGAAGCGAGTCTCTTGGGACGGTTGCTGACAAAGTCAAGCCACTCAAGCAGGCTCCAAGCTCGTCCGGTAAGTTTTCGGTGCGTTCAGCACCTGGTTTTCAGTTTTGACGAGATCTATCCTCAACATGGTCGATATTTCAACCGTATGTTTCACATCGTCAGTGTAGCAGTAGAACCATTCGTGCCGATCTTTGCGAATCTGCGAGTGTTTGAATCCGTTCTTGCAGAGGGCAGGTGCCAGTTCTGTTTCCGCTTTCATTCAACAGCGCCTCACCTACTATCGTGCAGCCGAAAAACTCGTTCGTGCACCATCTCATCGGATCATGCCGATCTCCTTTATCCAGCTTTGCCTGCGACGCCGCGCGTGATGATGGATTGTTTCGGATGAGCAGCCGTACTTGGTTTGTCTTGCAGAGACGACACAGCTACTAGCTACAACTGCTGCTCCGGCTAGAACCGGTAACTAGTAGTATCAGTATTTTGTCACCCACCCGGCACGCCGCTGACAGCTTCGCGGGGTCTTGAGCAGTAGCAGTAGCAGGAGCAGCAGCAGCAGTACTAGTACTAGTACTAGTACATACTAGTACTACTACAACAACTGCTGCTGCTACTACTACTACTACTACGACGACGACGACGACGACGACTACTACTACTTCTACTACTACTACTACTACTACTACTACTATGTCTACTTGTACTTCTACTACTGCTACTAGCTACTACTGCTGCTGTAGTAGTAGTAGTAGCAGTAGTAGTAGTAGTACTACTACTACTAATACTACTACTACTACTGCTACGACTACTCCTACTACTACTACTACTACTACTACTCCTCCTGCTGCTGCTGCTGCTGCTGCTGCTACGACTACTACTACTACAACAACAACTACTACTACTGCTGCTGCTACTACTACTACTACTACTACTCCTGCCACTGCCATTGCTACCACTGCTATTACTACCACCACCTGCTACTCCTGCTGCTGCTGTTATGCTGTTGCTACTACTTTACCACTACTACGACGACTACTACTACAACCTAAGCTTGGGCAGAAGCAGCTTTTCAATTCACGGCACTTCTTTTCTCGTAGATTCCGATGGAGGGGAATGTTGTGCCCTCATGCGGACCAAGCGTTTCAGCGCTTCCTGGACTGGCCGCGGGCTCAGCTGCAGCTGTCTTTGGCTGCACAAGACTGTTGCTGAGTACCGGCGGGGGTGGGAGCGCCGCAATGGACAGGTGTTCGCAAGTGGGCATCAGCAGAGGTGTCGTGACCGCAATTTCATGAGGCAAAGCCTTCGCACAGATACATGTGCCTGTGCACTTGGCATTTTGGTCTGGGAAGTGCAAGCCACCACGGCGCCCCAGAAACAGAAAAGGGTGACGAGGGATCCTGCTTCACATTTTTCTTTCTTTTGCAGGACTTTCAAGTATACTAAGTCAGCAGCTAAATCTTCAACCGCGAAGCTGTAGCTGAGGCGGCCTGGAAGTGCGATGTTCGTTGGGAAGGGGCCGATTACTGCAGGCACATGCTGTTGGATTTCCAAGACCACTCGTGACTTACTCATGATACGACAGCAAGAACAAAACTAGGATTGCTTATAGCACCAAAACCAGAAGAATAATTGTGGTAATGATAATGATACCAAGAATAACAACAGAACAGTCATTGCACGCAAAACCATGAGAATGAATGTTATAGTGAGCATGATAAGACAAATAATTGAAGCTGGTTATCCCTACAATACCTATTGTTATCGTAACTGCCACTATCGACGGAGGAAAAGGCAGACTTGCCCTGAAGGCGACTCGCCGCTTCGTAGAAGACGAGGAAATGCTCAGCGTGCCAGCCGACGCGATCATTTCAGAAGGTGTGGCAGGCCAAAGCTACCAGGAGCGCGGCTGTTGTATGAGATGACGACACAAACCGCTGGTGCCACTGTGCCCAGTGTTGTCAGGCTTCGCACTGGACACTCGCAGTCGCCCATCGCCTTGTGGAGGAGGAGGGCTCCGTGCTGTGGAGATTAAGGTGCTCAAGTGTTGCCAACATCCCTCATGCAGGACTGCTTGGGATCCGACTCTCGCTTCTGGTGCAGGCCTCAACAAGATTTGTATGAGCTTCTCTTTCGGGTGTAGCTGCCCTGACCTTGGAAGTCTAGCTAAAGGCCGTACGTTCAGCTTCTACTCGAGGGCAGCAGTCTCAGACTTCGAAACTTCAGCTTCAAGCTTCCTGCATTTGCAGTCGCAGAGATGGCCGCGAAAACTTCTCCATGGCATACTCTGCATGGCAGAGGTGAGCCGCATGATCTGGAGATCATGGACCGTTTGCCGGGCGTTGCAGGGTGTGGGCTTTGGCCAGATCGATTTTGCATCCTGTCCGCTTCGCTGTGCTTTGAGGTCCCTGGCACGCGAAAGGGCCAAACTCCGCGCCTCGCAAGTCGCTGAAATTTGTGCTGCTGTACCCGGCTGCACTCCCGAACGCGCTGACCTTGGCACCCGGTCACCATGGCTGGTAAGGGCATGCTGCTAGCCACCCGCAGCTACCAGTGCCTCTGCCATTTGTGCAAGATGCACCAGGTGCAGCTCGCGCTATGTACGCTGTGGATTCACGGACGGTGCCTCCTCTTGCACAGCCGAGGTGGGCCGCGCATCAGTACTCTGATTGCATCTAGCCAGGTGTACTGGCATCCTTCTCAAGTTCGAGCTTTAGCACCTCCCTCGGCACGGGTTTGTACAGTCTGATGGTTGGCACTGATCGAAAACCTACTGCGAGGTTCCATACTTCGATTTCGTGAACCACAGCGCTTCCCCGAACTCGCGGTGGATCATGAACTCCGACGGTTCTCTAAGGTGCTGCTCCAGTCCTCTTCATTGTCGCTGGTGTGCATAGAAACTTGTCAACGCGATCGAGGCTTCTTGCAACTGGACATATCGAGATTGGCGAAGAGGCCATAAGCGGATGGTGAACCAGAGCCAGCCGAAAAAAAAGCGAGCTCGTCAGGTGACTATTACGTATGATTCGATTCCCAATGCGCCTGTGTCCCTGCTTTGAGAGCCGGCGCATATTCGTCTTCTGCGAGCTCGAGTCCACCATTCCACATTCTGACACATGTGACACTCTCCCACAAGAAGGGAGCAGCATGCTTGAGGCGATTGCTGGTGACATACGGTTTCGTGCTTGAGGGAGAAGGACCGCACAGGCCTGCCCCCGCCGGTTGAGTGGATCTGTAAAAAACGCGGCTGCGTTCAGAGAGTAAGAAGGAGCGTGGACATGAACCTCTCATTCGGGCGGCTGCCAGAGCTGAACGAAGCTCTGGCTAGCGCCTTCCTGTCTTCACTGTCTTGTCTCTCTCTGTCCGACTTCAAGCGATCGTCGCGCAGGTTGGGCTCGGTGCAGCTCCAGGCGTGCAGGTGCAGGCGCGTAATAGAGTGATCTAGGAACTGTGAACCATGACCGGGCACCTGTGCATGCCACGCCCAGATTCTTGGAAACGGTGCCCTGAGAAGAAGAGCGGGGAGCTCATCGTTGGAGCTCATGCTCACTCAGTCTCCCTCTCTCTCTCTCTCTCCTGATCTCTTTCCTCTGTCGCTCTTTCTTTCTGTTTCTCCTACCGGCTTGGATGATGTGCGAAGCTGCTCTCAAGAGGCGCCGCTGCTCCAGCTGCTGCGCAGCCTCGGGCTCTCCGAGGCCTCCTTGGCAGAAGGCCTTGTGCAGCAGGCCCGTGGCCTGCTCCAGCACTTCTCAGCCCGCTGTCTCTTTGTGAAAGGCTGTTACTGGAAGTGGCGGGGCATCTTTGCAAAAGTAGCATTGTCAGGTTTCAGCGGAGCTGGAGCAGTGGCAAGCTGCTGATGCCCGGGGGGACGACCGTCTCGCCTTGCTGATCCGCATGAGCATCGAGGCTTCAGGGCTTTGTATTGTTTCGGCAAGGCTTAGAAGGGAACCTTGCGGAAGCCGCGACGGAGCCATGCAGGTCTTGCAAAATTTTCGTCAACGAGTTTCGTTCTGGATGCAGGAGTGGAAGCTGCAAGGTTCTGCATTTGACAGAGAATGTGTCGAAGCAGCACCTGTTTTGCAAGGAAGCTCAAATCAAGTCAATCATGGCTGCATTGGGGCCGCCGCCAGAGGCCAGAGGCCGACACGTTACCTCTGTCATGGTCTTGGTAAGCATATGTCCAGGCTGTGGAAGTTCACAGCGCATCAGAGGATTCGCAGGTGGAATGACGAGTTGGCATGCCGTCTTATCATGGCTTGCAGCTAAGTTCCAGGACAGCGGGTGACGGAGAACGAAGCCCCGCAACAAAGCGATGGAATTCAAGCCGTGTCGCACGGAAAGTCAAAGTAACCTTCCGCATAAACGATGGATGTGCCGATGAAAAAGACTGCCTGACTTTCAACCATTTTCCCCAGCCATTAAGCAAGCTTTGGCCCGGTAATCTTGGCAAGTCTGCGTTTTTGCTATGATCTGGCCCAAGTAGAGCGTACGTGGGGGCAGCCGCCTGGAGTCCCACGTCCCTCAGGGATCAGAGGCCATTGCTTCATTCCCACATTGTCCAAGATATCTGCACGACAGCCGGCTTGTTCCTGAGGCAAGTGTCCTCAGGCCTCGAAAAGCGGGACATGGGGTGCCTGTGCTGTTGCTGCAACTCCCCCAAGCACGACGAGGACACTCGGCGAAAAGAACGGAGGGCGGGCACACTGCGTCCGTAGGATGTTTATCAGTCTCCGGAACCGACTACTTCGGTGTGCTTGTAGAGCAGCACAGCTCAGCTGAGGAGGGTAAAAAGTTCTCCAAAGGCAGGGCCTTGACGACAAGTGTTTCGGTATTTTCCAAGATGCACGCGCAGCAGTGTGGTGCCTTTGTGGCGACATGCCTGAGGCGGAGACAATGACTTGTCAAACGGGCCGGTCGCATCGCGAGGGTGTACAGACGCATGGTGTTTGATCGTTTTGCTCGCCGCCTGGATGGCTTACATCGTAGTGACTGTGGCAGGACGTCTGCCTGCTGCGAGCTTCACGGTGTTCAACAGTTCTGGTTTGGATCGTCTGGTCTGGGTGAATACATGGGCAGGACTCCAAGATGGAGCTCCGGCTAAGCTCTACCTTCCTCGCGACTACAGCGGGGCATACTGTGATTTCGAGCAGAACTGGAACAATGGACCCAATCTCAAGGGCCTTGTGCTTACTTTGGCCTATCTCTCTCTGCACATGTGGCGATGCATGCCTTCCATGATTGACCTGATCAGGTTTCTCATTTCTCAGCTACACAATGCACGGGACTCGCAAGACGAGTCGTCTGCAGCAGCACAGCGAGTAGAGGCGGGCGACCGTGACTGTCTAAGGAATGCCACGGCCACCACAGACGTCATCGTCAAAGCTCTGCTATGCTCTAGTGCATCGAGCGATGCACTGCAGAGCCTGTACTCTGCAGAAGCGTACAACGAGTACCTCTGCGAAGCTGGGATACGCATCAGTGCTTGTTGCTCTTAGCGAGTGGAATTGGCCGGCCAGTCCTTGTAAAGTTGTGCGCTGCCAGGGGAAGGGGGAGATGCAAAATAAATGCTTATTTCAGCTGCCATGAATCAATGAAGCATGCTCCTTTGAGCAAGCATGAGACAGCATGCAACGGCAGATGCTAAGGACTGCTGCCTTACTCCTTGTGCGAAATGTGAAGGCCATTGCTTTGTGCGTGTATTCCTGTCAAGTAGTCCTCAGGCATGTCAGCTTGAAGCATCTTCGTCCAGGAAGTTTCGATGTTGGGGGCGATTTGGACCCCACTAACCTGCAAGGGAGCATCACATCCAAGATAGCTGCTCGGTGGAGTCGGTCCATGACATGTCCATGAGTCAGGTGACACACCCAATCGTGCCATTGTGCCTGTACCGAGGGAGAGCTGAAAGGCTCAGCGAACCCGGGGGACCTGTTTTCAGGCCTTTTCTCCGCACTGACTGTTGTACCTACCCAGTCTAGAAACCGTGTACCTACAAACGTGTCTCGCCATGCCCAGGTGGCGGAGCAAACGGGGACATGTTCACAGAAATGTGGTGACTTGGCAACCTGCAAGAGGTCGTCGGGGCTTTTTTGAGAAGAGCTGCATCCATGTCGTTGCCGGCATCCGGCAATTGCCCGAGCATTCCGTGATTCTGATGCATCCCAGGAACGAAGCCACGAAGTATTTCAACATGGTTTGCTTAAAGTCCTGCAACGAAAACTTTGCAACTATGAATGCCAGTACGGATACCATCCGAGCCTTGGTGGCAACAGAGAACAGATGGTCGCTCTACAGACTTTGGCCCACGGCCCACGACATGTTTCCCAGGTGAATGGACCTACACGATGTCAGAGGACGACGACTTGAAGAAGCACTGGGATGCTCTTACTGCCGGAGGGTTGGAATCTCAGCGCCGCTGATGCGTCACGGAACTGCGAGGGGGCTCCGGGAGTCTGGGGCGCTTCACAGGCCTGCCTTCATCAAGGACTCCATCAGCCAATTCACTTTTAAGGTGTCTCTGCTACCCATCAGGTAGGATTAGGTAGATAAGATATTAACACTCTTTGTTGCGTGCAAGGTTGTGTCGGTTTGGTCTCCTTTCGATCCGAGGCGCTCCCGGAGTCAGTTTGCCCTTACAACGCCTCCAAGTGCATTCCTTTTCCCGGTGTGGAGCTGCTTGGCTTCATCTGGGGTTCGAGACAAAGCGAGCTTCACGTCCAAGATTTTGCTGAGGTTTGGAGAGCTGTACGGCGGCTACTGCAGTTTCAAGATGGGTCGAGCCCTCAGAGCCCCTCATTGCGTACTGCCTATAGAGTCCCGAAGCAAGGTGCGGAGGTGGTCGCAGCCATGGGCCAAGCCGCTTCGGAGATCTTCGAAAGTACGGGCCTTGCGTCTTTTCAAGACAGCTCTTCAGAAGCTGAGCCGCACGAAGATGCAACAGATGAGGCTGCACGGCTTTAGTTTCCATTCAGCGTCGTCGCTAGCCAAGGAAACGATCGGGAAGTGGATGGGTGATTTTGAGAATTCGCTGCCGGCCTTCATCTTGGTGTGTTGGCAGCATGAACGAAGTGACAGACCACGGCCTGCTTCGGTCAAATGTTTAGCTACCCTACACTCTACATGGAGGTGGCACTCTGCAGCTTTCTCATTGGTTTCATCTACCTGGTTCTTCTACGATTCCTCATCAAGTTCTGTGTCTGGCACCTCTGCCGATTCTGTTGCCGAGTGACCAGCAAGTAGCAATGCCTCAGGCAGCATTGCGTTTTGTTTCCGCACTGCGCTCAGGTTTGCCGTTTTGCTGGTATTTCTTATGCTCGTCATTGGCGGTGGTCTTTGCTGGATTCGGAGCAGACAGTGTCAAGGCTACGTGGCAAACCTTCACGTGGGGCTGTGGTTCTTTGGTCCGAAGCCGTCTTCGCTTAGACGCGAAGTAGGTGTCCTGCTACATCTGCACTAGTAGACCTCTCATGTCATCTCAGGTGCAGGATTGCTGGAAACCGGGCAGCAGATGGCGGTGTCAATCGCTGCAGCTTGGCATGCCATGACATGCCGTGTCATGTTGTGGTTGATTTGAACGAATCGATGTCGTGCGGAATGAACGTGGCAGCTGAACTTGTTTTTAGGTCACTGCCCAGACAGCCGCGGACAATGCAATGTCCGGCACGCAGGCAGTGAGCGAAGCCATGACAGGAGCACTTTCGCTGCAGATTTAACTCCGTAGATTCTGTTCGGGTTGAAGCGTGCTGGGTTGCATGCGAAGCCAAGGACGGCGCAGATTATCGCGGCGTGCAGACACGCACAAAGAATGGCTACCAGTGTGAACAGTGGGGACAAGGCTACACCATGCTGCAGCCATGATGCCATGCACATCATACATACCGTCCGCCCCGCCGCTAGACCTGCACCGTGCCTCAGGCAATGCTGCCGCCTACAACACCAGTACGTACCCAAACTCAGGCGCTCTGGGTTCTCGGGCCTATGATCAAGTGGCTGTACAGCCGCGAACGTAAAGTGATAGATTGAACGAAGCTGGTTTGGGAGCGACGCTGAATCGTAGTTCGCACTTGCCCGTCCGTAGCCCCTACAATTCAGCCTTGATCAGACATGTTTGGTGCTAACATTGAGAATGAGATACGCCCTCTCACGAGGGCTCTTGGGCTGGAGCAGGCCTGGTGAACAACTTCTGCCGCAACCCGTATCAGACCGGATCCACGAATGTCGCCGCGACCATCTGGTGTTTCACCACTGACACCAGCGTCACGTGGGAGACATGCACGCCGGTTGGTGTCATCGCGCCTGTGACTTGGCACAGATTGGAAGGCTGAAAGCTGTCACTTTTGAGAGTTTTGCACGGCAGAGCAGCCAGGGTTTCTGCCACTTCTGTGGCTTCCTGAGGAGTGCGCTGCGGGCTATGCCATCACGAACAATGAGGTCAGAATAGTCCTGGAGGTTGTTGGCTACATACTCTGGGTTATCGCCAGCATCTACTTCATACTCGTCTGCTGCCTTGTCGACAGGACCTCCCTGCATTCTTCTTTCTGGACGAAACATAGTACTTGGGGCAAAAGCCATCGGGCGGGGCTGTGCTACTGACATAAGCGTGCAAGAATGCATGGGGATGGAGCGGCCGAAAGCCATCACTGCCAACTAAGAACGCATCCAGCCCCTGTAACGCCAGCTGTTCGGAAGACTTACTGCAAGCGGCCTCCCCCTGCAAGGATTCGATTGGCGATTGCCGTGAACCAAGTGGCTGCCAGCTTTGTAAAGGACACACCCAGGCAGGATAATCCGGAAGCCATTGATTAAGCCGACTCACAGAAACGACTGAAGCCTCGGCATCACCTTCAGGATACTGGTCATGCCCATTCTACAAGCTGTCATTGGGATCCTGTGGATCTTGCTCTGGGCCCTCTCGGCTAGCTTTCTGCTGTCACAAGTGCCGGAAGACTACACGCCGAAGGCCGGCTTGAGGTTGATTCTCCCGTGTTTGGAAGACTCTGTGCAGCGTATGCTCCTGCACCAGGAGGCTTTCACATCCTATGACGAAGCTTTTGGAACCGTGACCTGGTGGCGCTTAGTTCATATGATCTTTGACAACTTTCGCCCTCCAGTTTGTCAATCGAAGGTCTGACTTGGGGTGTTTCGGGCTTGATCAAGCTGACCCTTTCCGGATGCTTTGGGGCGACAGGGCTTGGTGTCTTTCTGTCATGGGAAGCTTACAACCAAGGCGAATGTTTCCGGCAAGTGCACGGACAAGTGGCCCACGGGTGGCGTTTGGAAGTCTGAGTCCTGTTGCTTGCCAGCACCTTCTGTCACACCCTCTCGCCAAGAATGGCTTTCTGGGGTGTTCGGCGCTCTCGGTCCGTGGGTTGACGCTTGGGACAGGGGAAGAATGCTTTGACAAGTCTGGAAGCGAACTTTTTGCTAAGGGGAGGGCCGGGTGAAGCAGGCGAGTAGATGTGCACGGTTTTCCAATGTTTTCCGTTTCTGTATGCAGAAAGGCAGGACCGGAAGGAGCAGGGAGGGTCTTCCTGCCACAGCATGCCAAGTGGAGACCAGCCGGAGCACCCAACAGCTACCCAGGTGATTTGGTGAACGGGACCTACGCATGCTGGAGATGCTCTCCTCCACGGTATGTCTTCGACTGGCGATTCGCGGTGCCTGTCCAGGAAATCGGCCTGACCTTTCCGACACATGCAACGCTTGGGATACTGACGGCATGCCTCGTTTGGCAAGGTTTCCTTCTTCGTTTTCCTTTGGAATAATGCCGCAACCTCAGTTCGCGAGAGAATGCTTGTTTGCCCGATTGATCGGAAGACCAGCCTCCTCTCGCGATCCGTCGCTGCAGGCCCTGAACATTGCCATTGGGCAGTGCCTCATCGCTGGTGCCGTCGGGATATGGTTCTTCACTTCAAACTCCGACAAAGGCACCAAGCGGGTCGCTTGACATAATGCAGGCACTTCACGATCCGGTGCACTGGGCGAGATCCCTGTGCCAGATTCACTTGACAGCAACTCTACCTTGTCTGGCCAAACTTGAGGTCATTGCACAGTCCACGTGGTGCCTTGGTTGTGTACCGTGATAGGTGTAGATGCCGGGTCGGAGTGCGCACATTGTGGCCTCTGCGACGCATGGTCACCTCAGAATGCAAGCAAGCAAGGAACGTGTTCCGCTATCACTTGGGTTCGTTGGCCTTTGGCTCCTTCATTATTGCGGTGATACAGTTCATTCGCTACTTGATGAAGTACTACGAGAAGCTTGCCCGGCAAGTGTTCCACCAAGAGCGGCGACCATGGACATGGACCCGTAAAGTAAAAGCTCGGACTCGCCAGGGCAATGATTGTACTATCTGTTAGTAAGAAAGGTTCCATTGAGTGTTGCACTGATCTCAAGCTTAATGCTGATGATGCAAGTCGGTCTGTCCTCTCTCCGAGGAAGCAAGCAAAAGCGGCAAAGAACCGGGTACTGGTTCTGGTCCTCAAAGTCTTGCAGTGCTGTATTTGGTGCTTCGAGAAATGCGCCGGGTCCTCGGCTGGTTGGTGTGTATGCAATGATTCGCTTTAAGCTGCCGGATCTGTGGCAGCAGGTCAAGTTCCTGAACAAGAGACTTGGACCGCACCGCAGAGGATCAACGTATGCATAGACCAGAGCAGGAGCAGTCACCAAGGAATGCGTACATTCAGATCGCGCTGATGGGTACGAACTTCTGCGTGTCTGCCAAGAAGGCCTTCTTCTTGATTTTGAGAAATGCCTTCCGATTCGGAACCGTGGCAATCCTCGGGGCTCGCTGGCGAAGTTGATGAGTGTTTTCATCGGTACTTTTTGGTATAGATACAGAGGTAACAATATGCAGCTTCGTGTCTGTTCTACCTTCGACCGTGTCACCCGAGACTATGATCCATGCCATCGGTTTCCTGTTCATCATTGCATCCAGCGTTGCTCTGGGCTACCTCATCTTGACGGGCCTCTACCCTGATATTTCCCCTGCTGTCTGCCTCATCATCTACGGCTGCACAGCCTACGTTGCCTCGACCTCGGTCCTGTGGCAGTCGAGTCAGCATTGAAACGGATCTCGGAGTTCACGAGGTTTCCAAGCTCTTCATGCCCCCTGGCAAAACCGGGTCGAGCACAGATCGCGAGCGGAACGCACGCATGATCTCTATAGGCTGAAGGCAGAGGCGCCTCAGCGTATGCACCAAAGAATCGACAAGAGGATACTTCAGCAAACACGATCCATTGGGCTTTATGCCTTTGTCTGGATGTGCAGACACGGCTGGACAACAGAACTTGTTCCAGCATAGTGCTAGAACTTACCATGGGTCTGCATGTGGCCCCCCAAAATTATGGGGACTCACCGTGATCGTTTCTACTAGCTGCAGAGCAAGGCTTTGGCGGAGAAGGGCAGGCCGGCGCGCTCGCACACCCGCCTGCCACACATGACTCATACGTGCTCACGCCACGACATGTTGTGCTCATGTTGGGACAGAGAGCTAGCAGGCAGGTTCTTACGAGTTAACGGGTTCTCACTCACACGCTTGTTTCTTGCACTTTCTCATTGATTGCATTGTCGCACTTTGAGAGCTCAGGAATGTATTTGGCCTTGCAGTGGACACCACGTTGCAGTGTTTTATCGCTTGCGAGGTGGAGCTAGCATGGCCGAGTTTGCGAGCGCCAAGCATCCATGCAGCTGAATGTGATAGTTGCTACAGCCTGCAGGAAATGGAACTGGGAGGCGACTTCGTTCCAAGCTCCATGAGCAGATGGATGCTTGGCTCGACCGAAGACATCCTCACGGTATGTCGCTTTCCTGTGTTTGTGTTGCTGTCAGTCGGTCCTCGCCCCAGGCTGGACAAGTCCAAGCCAATCGTAGATGAGGATGACTGAGCACGGAGCCGTGAACCTTTTGCCCACGCACCCCGCGTGGAGCATGCAGATTTTCGGAGCTAATTCATGCATTGCTCATTCATGCTCTCTGGATGGATGCTGCTTTCAAGGTGCTTGCTTCCTTTCCCTGTATCTGCATGTTCAATGCAGGACCCATGCATAAACTGATGGGAAGGACGCAACAAACAGAGTGCATCTGGTGCACTGAGAGTAGGGCCCGACCTGGCCGTCGCACGACGATCACGACATGATCACGACACATTCTGACATCCTGGCGCGAGCGCGGAAGGGATGTGTTTCACCGTTGAGTTCTGGTTTCCTGGCTGCGGCCGGAGAGATTGTTTGCCAATTGCCATGTCCGAATGGACAGCGAGGCAACTGCTACTTCCTTGCCGCTGGGCTGTAAACGAGACGTACCTCACAATCCAACGCACCTTCCATGCTGCACATGATTCCAGGCAGTTCACTTTTCCTGCTAGAGAGTGCCAGCGGAAGCTGTCAGATGGCTGGAAGTTGTCCCACCCAGCAGATGGTCGGTCAGTTTGGCAGTCATGTTCCAGACAGCTCTTTGCAGGTGACACTGAGTTGGCTGCTTCAGAGTCAAAGCATATCGGCAAAAAGCTGCATCCCGCAAATCCCAGACTGTACAGGCTTTTGCTGTGGCATTGAGGGCGCCTCTTATGCGCACGCTTCTGCTTTCCACGAGCCTGGACTCTTCAGCAACCAACAGCTCAAGATGCCTCGACTGGGCTCCGCTTTGAGCGAGCAAGAAAGCCGAGACGGCCGCAAAGCTGAGAATTGGAAATTCCTGAAGTCTCAGCAGCTAACTGTGATGACTCTCAGGCTTGCTCTTGCTGCTCTGTGTTCCGGGTCGTCCCCTCGAGCTCGTCTTGTGTGGGTATTGCTACGCTTTGCCGCCACTGCAGGCAGAGCCCGACACGCTGCTGCCGGAACCACCGCAGCAGGACGTAGACGCGAATCCGCGAATCTGCAGTGCCGCGACCACCCGTCTTTCCAAGCTCTCTGCCATCGTGGTGCCTTCAGGATGCAGCTGAGAAGAAAGGGGGCAAAGTGTGGCTCGGTCACATCAGAGCTACGGACACGAAGGATGGGACTCGGAGAATCTTGAGTTCTGCAGGAAGAAGCCCAAGAAAGGAAAGGAAGAGAAGGAAAAGGGGAAGGAAGAGAAGGAAAAGGACAAGGAGCCGCTAAACCTCGACCGTTGGGATTCTAGGTGCCACTTCGACATGTAGAAGCCAATGCGTCAATATGTGCCCTGGAGGCGGAGGCCATGAGCCAAGAGCCCAAAGATTCCAAGGAATCGACCAAAAGCTCGAAGTCCAAAAGCAAGGAGAACAAAGAAGCAGAAGCCAGCGTCGATGAGCAAGCCGGCGCAGCGCCCGATGATCAGTTCATTGGCCGGGCCCTGAGGTGTGGGCTTTGGCTCCTACCACTGCTGATCAGCCTTTTCACTTGTGGCAATTCTGCAAGTCTTGGATGTCTTGAGGCTCAGCTGGTTGAAGAGCGTGTTGAAGCGAATTCTTGCCATCAGCTGAGGCAAATTCCATTCTGCCCTGCGTGTCGACCTTACGCGTCTCACCATCTGATTTCCTGGCGATGTGATTTGAGAGCTCACCGAGAATGCTTACCGAGGGTGGGGCAAGGCAGAGGATGAGGCAGTTTGGGCAGAACACCCTTTCAGAAGTCCGGATACAAGCACGTCCCTGCAATGTTAGGTGCAGGCGCTGGTGACGGATGCTTCGGTGTGCTGGCCTGAGCTCTTGTTATGCTTTCAGACAATCATGTCCTGTTGTGTCGTGGTTGCCTAACTGCCCCGACATAACAAGTCTCAACTTCTGCACAGCCAGCGTGCGAGGTCCCGGCGCTCTGCAGCAAGCTGGAGCCTCAGCTCTCGGATGCAGTGAAGCTCGATGATTGTTGATGTCGCCGTAATGATGCTACCTTTTGTTTGTCATGATTACTACTAATAGGATTCTCATGAACATGTCGTTTACGGTCGTTACTATTCTGATAGTTACTGCTAGCTGCTATTATTCGTGCTTCGGTTTTGCTGATCTCATGTTAGGAGCACCGGACCCAAAGACCGGCAACCAAGCCTTGCACATTGCAGTGCAGAACGGTCGGAAGCCCGACTGTCACTTTCGCCTCCGCTTTCGGGTTCAGGGTTTAGGGTTAGCAGTGTCCAGTTTCATGGGTTTCCGGTCGTACCCAGGCCACCGAGAGTTGACACAGCTCTTGATTGCTTGGAAAGCAGATGCCCAGCTCCCAGTCCCTGCCTTCGATGTAGTTTCACTGGGCTGCTTTCTTCTAGTGCTTGCACGTCGCTTGTGCCATTTCCGGCCTCGCCGCCATGCCAGACTCAGCTTCTCATGCGCCCGGTTCAGGGCTGAAGCTCGGATTTCGAATGTGTTGGAAGATCAGTGTGTAGCTTTCCTTGCAGCGATCGGCTCGTGTGCCGGTCGCTGCCGCCAGCTCTATGAGGATGTGGCATGATGTGGCGCCTGACGACGTTGATTCAGACCGCGATGCTGATTTGCGACGCCGTCGTGAGCGCGGTACATGATGCGTTGCCATTCTGGGTTGTGTCGTTGCCCTCATCACTCCCATTGTCAAGGCCATGATCCCCGCCAGCAAGGAAAACGCCTGTGATGACTACTTGACCAGCCTCGCCAAGGACATGATGCTGCCCTACGTCTACGACCTCCCGCAACCTTACGTCAACCGTACGCTCCTGTCGATGGAGCTGGCCGAGATGGTCGAGCGCAGCTGAGCGCCCCGCAGCCAGGTCCGCCTCATCGTGGTGCTCGGCCGCCGCGAGGTGGGGAAGACGAGCGTGGTTTTGGAGCACTTCAACAACGACAAGAATGTGTACTACCATGTCGCAGAACGCACGATGCATTTGGGCTGGGCCGGATGCAGGCGGGCGGCCGAAAGCACCTTGGCAAACAGGAGGTGCAGCATATCGTCGGCAAGGTCTACGACTCTACGAGAAGAGCCGACAGAAGTCACCGTCATCTTCGACATCCCTCACAATTTGAGGAGGATGCGGATGTCACGCGAGTCTACGAGGACTTGAAGGGCATGGTCTATGATGACACGGTATGACACGAGTCACACTGGGCATCATCATTTTGAGCAACCACTACCAGGTGGACGCCTTCCCACGGGACAAGGGGCGGTTCGAAACGATCTGGGTCGGCAACCTCGAGGAGTCGGAGGCGACCGAGTACGTCGGCAAGTTCCAGGCCGACACATCGGTGATGATGGACATGGGAACCGGCTTGAAGGAGCTGGGCGAACCGCTTGCCCCTGTCGAAGCTGGAAGTGGAGTACAGCGTTGAGAGCGCGAGGGCAGATCCACACGCAGAGGCATTGATGAAGATGATCGCGGAGGCTGGCTTTATTCTATTTGAGGGATGTGTTCCACATCGTCAGGGCCTTCAGCGAGGTCTTCTACTTCGACAGGAAGCGGCATGCCTTCGTTTTCGTCAGTCCGCTTCACCGGGTCGCCTTCCAGGAGCAGATGACCCAGCGCAGCGAGTTGTGACGGTTGTTTCAGTGGCACGAGTCCACAACGCGGGCACAGATGCGGGCGCGGCTCAACTCGCAAAGGCCTTGCAGCGCCAAATCGCCCTGCACAAAAAGGAGGGGTGCCTCGTTGGCCAGATCGATTGGTGTTACAAGTTACAAGCTTGCGCCCGTTCGTGCACTTAGAGCCCCAGTTTATGTGACTTCTGAGGCCCCAGAGACCCGAACACTATAGCTCAGCCGGGTCCGAGGATAGTTCTTGCTGTGTCCTTAACCGTTTGCGCCGAACCCAGGACCACAACGTTTAGATCAACAGGGCTTATACAAAAAAAGGTACCAAAACCTGATTTATGTTCGTATTTGGCAAACTTTGTCGCTATTTGTTTTATTTTGGTTTTATTTGCTTTTATTTGCTTTTGAAGTTCGTATTTATCATTTTAAGCTTTTGGTTGTGATTGAATCAAATTCCGCCGCTTGCTTCCTGCTGTTCTGCAACATCGCCGAGGCAAGGGTGATCAGGCGATGCATTGGATGAAAGTCGTTATCCAATGTCATGTACGTTAAAGTCATCATCCAATGTAAGTGCAAATGTAATGTGGCGGCCCGTTTAATCGCCACCCCCCTTTACCAAAGGTTTTTGGCTTGAATAGTCTGGTGTCCGTGACCCTATGGACCGGGGTTCGGCTGGCTGAGGGTCTGGATGGCTTGGGTTAAGTTAGAAGGGAATTGGGGGGTCGCAGGGTCGGTTTGAAACCTGGAAACCTGCGCGAACGCCGCGGTCGGGGGGTTTGGGGATCACCAAAAGCTTGAAACCAAGCCCCGATCACTCCAAGATAACTACCAACACTAAAAGCCTTTCATGTTGAAGACTTTTGCTTCCAACTCAAAGACCCCTACAATCGACCAAGTCTGAGGCCTGATACGGTACAATGGTGTGTACTACAGAGTACAGTGGCACAGTAGTACATTAGTACAATAGTGTCACAGTAGTAGCACAGTGCTAGCACAGAAGTCGTACATGCAATGTAATTGTACAGTTGTGATGCATGTAATAGTACAGTGGTAGAGGGGTCGCTTAGCCAACTTTTTTTCGGGTCGCTTAGCACGCTCCAGTTTTGGTCGCTTGGCACGCTCATTTTCACAGGTGTTGGAAGCCCAACAAAGAACCCTAAAAGGAAACCCTAAACCCTAAACCTTAAACCCTCAAAGGAAACCCAAAACGCTAAACCCTAAACCCTGAACCCTAAACCCTGAAAAGAAACCCTAAACCCAAAACCCCCTGAACCCTACACCCAAAACCCTAAACCCTAAAAGGAAACCCTGAACCCAAAACCCCCTGAACGCTACACCCAAAACCCTAAACCCTAAAAGGAAACCCTAAACCCTAAACCCTGGACCCTAAACCCTAGACCCTAAAAGGAAACCCTAAACCCTGAACCCTAAACCTTAAACCCTGAAAGGAAACCCTAAACCCTCAACCCTAAACCCTACAAGGAAAGCATAAACCCGAAACCCTGAACCCGAAACCCTAAACCCTAAGATCAAGATTGACGTCACCACTCCCTTCCAATTACTCATGCTACGTGTGCCTGGACAGGAGACCGGGTTGTGTTGTCGGCCTATAGCACGGCTGCCAGTACGTGCAACCTCTCGGACGATTTGTACTGCCGGCTCTGCTCTTTTGGTTTTCGGCCTCCTACTGCTCACGAAGAGGATCGCTTTCGACACGAGATTTGGGGGGCCACGGTTACGAGGCAACTGAGGCTTGAGCCTAGACTGGTGTGGCCGCGGGGCACCTTGTTACACCACCCTCCTGTGACGATCGACCTGGAGGATTCCTGTCCAGCAACGATACCGATACCGTCTGATACGGAGTCGGATGTCATCAGCATGTGCATGGGAGCAGCCAGTCCAGAGCCCGACTACTGGGATTGTGTTATTTCCGATCCGGAGTAATCTTTGTGCTCTTTTTGTTCTTATTTCGGTGTTTCGGAGTTTGGGTGCTCTGGCTGCTCCTTTTTATTTCCCTCACGGGTTTTTGCCTCTGCATGTAGTGGGTAATCCGCTAGTTCTGTGCAGCTCTAGGCTCTGATACTGACCGCTGTAGAGGTTTGGTCACCATCCATGATTTTCCAGCTGGCCTGCGCCGTGGCCTTTGGGCTATGCTTGGCAGCGATGTACTCGGTGTACTGCATGTTCCGACTGAGTATGAATTCAATGCGTGCCCACGAAGCTGTTTTGCTGCAGCTCCTTGGAGAGCAAAGACAGATGCATGACCTCCTGAACCAGACTCGGGGCGACGTTGCTGAACTCCGACGAAGACATGGTGAAGCCCTGGACTCTCTGTACCATGGCCTGCAACTACGATCCAGACTGGGGGCAGTGGACAATACTCATGCCCTTGTTCAGGAACTCCATTCTCGGGTGTCTGGTCTCGCGGGAATACAGCATGTTGGCCACGTGCGAGGGCAGCTGCACGATGTCTTGGATGCTCTGCGCGAGATACAACAATCGCTCGAAGGGATGAATGTGGACGGGAGTGCCTCGTCTTCAGCGCTGCCCATCGTCCGACTTGCCGTTCCTACTGGTACTGAACTGCAGCTGCTGTGATACATTCGAATTCAGCATAGGCAATGGACGAGAGTGCTTTGTTGTGTTTGCTTTTGGTTCTTGTTAGCTCGGGTCTTCGTTCTTTTGGTGTAGCCTTCACACGCACTCTTCGCGCCTGCTGGAGAATTCCTTGAATTTACTGATTTCCGAATTTGTAGCCATGTAGCATGTTGGAATTTGCAGTTGTGCGTGTGCAGCCGAGTAAAAGCATGTGCCGCCGCGAGCTTGCCAGCGCATAGGGGATGATGCGATGTTTGGAAGACGATGTAGGTGATACCTTTGACCCTCGGGACCAGCATTTTCTGCCCAACACTTGGTATCCACTGCCCGTCCTAGCACTGCTTCCTGTTCCTGTCTCTAGCCTGAGCCTTGGCTGCTTGGGGGCCGCTGGGCTCGATTACATGATCGACGAGGCGCGTACTTTGGGCAGGGTTTTCAGGGTTTTCTTTGGGTTCTTGGACGTGATGCTTGTGACGAGGGCCTTTTGGGGTACTTCTGGGTAGCCGCTTCTGCCACATAAAGATACTAGGACGCATGCTGCTTCAAGCATCCCCCTCCTGCCAGCTCTAACGCCGCATGCTTGCGCAGCTCCTTTGGCTGACGCGCCCAGTAAACTGAAGGCTACAGCTAGACTCCCGTGCTGAGGCGCCATGTCTGTTGCCTTGTACCAGGCTCAACACCGCTTTCCCGAGGGAGGCGAGGATGGGCCGGATCTCACCGGAGTATGGTGCATGCTCCTCACGGGTCTGATGGGAGCCTTGTTGGCTGGTCTCTTCTTCCTTGGCCACTACTGGGGGTGGGCCCTTTTCCCCTGCATGCGACGTGCGGGGGTCCAGCAACGTTTGGACGATTTGGTCCGGGCCGTGCAACAACTGCAAGCGCTGGTTCATGCTGAAGGCTATGCCACCCGCAGTGCTGGCGCGGACGCCCTTCAACGGGCCATGGGCCTGCTTGACGTGGACGATTCCCTGACTCGCATGCTCAATGATGGATTCGAGGACGGCCGCAATCGTCTGCAAGCCATCATGAACAAAGTCATGAAAGTTGGCGAGGTGGCCAACACAATCCATGCCATGCACGCGAATTTGGGGAATACCCTTGCAAGCCACCAGCTGGAGCTTCAGAGAACCATCCAGCGTGCCAAGGACGACCTCAAGCAAGCCTTTTCCTCTGCTGGGTCGAAACTGGCGGGCAGTGAACACAAAAGCATCACAGATGCTCTCAGTGCCATCTCGGCTGCCCTCGAGGAGGCCAAGCTCAACACCTCTACAGCTTTGGATGCGGTGGCCAAGAAGATGGTGAAGGACTATGCGGACCTTCAACGATTCCTCACTCCGCTACAACGAAACCAAGAGAGTTTCTCCACGGGCATGAACGGGAGGTTCGAGCAGCTCCAGAAAGACCTCTCAGGCATCTCCTACGCCTTGAGCAAGCAGATCAAGGAGCTCAGTGGACAAGTGCGATGGGCTCAGCAATCCCTGGATAGAATTCAGGGGGACAGCGAACACTTGCCAGATAAACTCAATTTTCTGAGGGGGCTTCTTGAGGCGGTCAAGGAACAGCTGGAAGTCCTTCAGAAGGAGATCGAAGCTATGAATGCGGAGCCAACGGCACGCTCTCCCACTGCAGACCCGGCCACAGCTTCAGGACCAGGACCCGCCGCCCCACCGCCCCCGGCTCCGGCGGCAGCGACTGCGGGTGGACCAGGGCCCACGATGCTGAACCTGGACGAGTCCCTCCCAATGGTGAGCCGCCAAGGGCAGGGATATTTGTGCCCGATCACGCTCCCGGATGGGAAGGTCATTTTCATCCCGAGGTCGGTTCTTGCACAGATGCTAGGAGCACATGTATTGTAAATGTCTCGCTGCTCTTGAGGGCCTGGAGATCCTTTCTATGTTGCACTGTTTTGCTACTTCTTTGTGGCCTCTATGTTCCTGTTTTCCATGTGTCGATGGCCCCTCAGCAGCACATCCGACGACTGTGATGATGCATGCTCGTACAGTAGGAGGCGAGAGCGATGTTTTTCATGCGCCTGGCCCCTGAATTTCATGCAAACTGCAAGTGTCGTGAAGACCCGAATTTGGTGCATCGAATTTTCAGCATGCCTGCATTGAATTCAAGAATATGAATTTAAGCCTGCGAATTTGGGAATGATCATAGGTCGTCTTTTGCAACAGTACCGAGCATCCACAGCCAAGCAGAAGAAATGCCGCTTCGAGTGTCTTCTTGGACGACCCCACACAAACCCACAACCACCCCTCTCCCTTTGCCCTCTCCCCCCTTTCCCCCCCCCCCCC